GAGAAAAGGTCCCCAACAAACCATGTTTGTTCTAACATGATTGTGTGTCATTGTACTCTGACAGAGGTTGTGAGACGTGGCTCACTGTAACAATCACTGGTTTGTCAGACCGGTGTATATGGAAATCAAATTACATTAGGTGTTTGTTTTATGATGGTACTCATAATTTTGTTTCTTATATCTGTAGCCTGAGATATTTCCGATCGGACGTTATACATGGGGGCTTTAGATTTACAGTTTTTCCTAAATTTTAGGCAATTGTACAATGTATGTTATCTTTTTGGATAGACTATAGATTTAAATGTATGCTTATTGAATATAGTTCTAGTTTTGACCCTTTTTTATGTTTTCGTTGCAGCAAGAGGGAAAATGTTACACGACCATTCCAGGAGATAAAATCAAGAATGTTGAATCATTGAGGAACACACAAAATAAACCCTGGGCTGTGAATTATGTTAACGTAAGTACAATTGTTTACAATTACATTCCATTGTCTATATCCATGTTAATTTTTTTTTTTGCTTTGAATGAATGCTAAGAATGTAGATCTATTTATATAAATCTATGCTCGTACCACGTTTTGTATTCAACCTGATTCTTGATGTCTCTGAATGAATGTTAAAATGTGTTGCCATCAGACACTTGCATTAGGCCTATACATTGTTTGAATATTGATAAAGCTTTATCTCCAAATTAGGGCTGCAACGAATACACTATGAGGCGAATACGATTCATATCACGAATATAGGGTAACGAATACGAATATTAATTAACAATTACAATAACAAGTCAGCAGTTGATGTATTATTTATTATATTCAGTGAAACAATAACAACATAATTTATTTGACATGCTTTGTTAATTATTAATAAATTATACATTTATATACTGCACTTATCCAGGTACTAGTATCTGCTCAAATGCGACAATGACCAGTGAAAACAATACTATCAAATTAAATATTATTAGAGTGTTGTCATTGAAAGAATCTATGCATACAATATGATGTTATGGATACTTTTATGTACAGGGTATGTAAATATATATGATAGCATATTCATAAATATTCGATTCTAGTGGCCATGCATAACGAATTCAATTCATGAATGGTTACGGTTCGATTCACCGAATACGCGAGTGAATCGTAACAGCCCTAGTTTCTCGTCATATAGTATCTTTCAAATACCTGCCCGAGATTTATTAAGCTGTTTGTATTTCAGGGATGTGGAAGTGAACACCAAAGAAAGAAGATTCTGGCATTCAATAATTTCGAAAAGTGTATAAATTTTCAATTATCTAAAAATATTAAAATGTCAACACAAATGTGTCTTGGAGTTCTTGGTTGAATGGTGACGCCGCATGACTGAAAGTTGAAGTATACTATATGGACTTGATTAGAGACCGACCATTTAATATTCAAGGAGGTGGGGACCTGGAACTTTTCTATGGAGGTTACATATATTTTCGGTCACAGCTACAAAATCAGATATATGATTTTATTTAACTCTATGAGCCTGAAGATAAGCACCTTGCAACTAGATCTATGTCATTTTTGTGGCAGGCATTTTTTTCGGTGACAATATATTTTTTCGATACAATTCCAGGACCCGACCCGACCCGCCCCAGAAAATATCATATGGTCAACCCCTTTCAATGTCTGCCATTCTTATTTTATTTCCTGCAGTACTTGCCTAAAGGGTAATGGTGTCTGCCTTTGTTATAGTCATATGTATCTAGTTAACAGCTCAGTGGTGTTTTTACTTTTTGAACATTGTCAGCAAAACAAGATCTAACTGTTAACTAGGCTATTCGACGCCCTGGTTTTAATCATACACATTCACGTGACTAAAGCATATTCTAAAACATTTCCGGAACATGTTTTTGGGTTGGTTTTACAACATTTAAGTGAGGAATGTTCACAACGTATTTCATCCTTGTAACAGTTATTTCACGTCGTTGTGACAACGTCCATGGTAGTACACAGAATAACGTTGTAGGGACGCATTATTATAACATTGCCACAACGTAAAATACAACATTACCACGTCAAATACAACGTTCCCACAACGTCATCACAACGTTGTCACGACTTGAATATGACGTAACACAACGTAAGCCACAGAATAACGTTATATGGACGTAACATCCGCAACGTTACCACAACGTTACCACAACGTTATCACAACGTGAAATTGTCAGCTGGGTTACGTTTTAGAGCTAACCTAAAGTATTACCACAGTAAATGGGGTTCAACGAAATTATGGACTGTTTATCCCAGTTCTGGTCGGTGAAGAAAGTTTCTTTCTGTTCCCTTTGCTACTTTGAGTGATCGTACCAGTGGAGTTGGTAGGCTGGTTTGGTTGTTTATCGCCGCACTCAGCAATATTACAGCTATATGACGGCGATCTGTAAATAATCGAGTCTAGACCAGACAATCCAGTGACTGACATGAGCATCAACCTAAACAATTGGGATGCGATGGCATGCATCAACCAAGTCAGCGAGCCTGACCACCCGATCCCGTTAGTCGCCTTTTACGACAAGCATGGGTTGCTGAAGACCTATTATACCCCGGATCTTCACGGGTCCCACGCAATTGGGATACGATGACATGAATCAACCAAGTCAGCGAGCCTGACCACCCGATCCCGTTAGTCGCCTTTTAAGACAAGCATAGTCACCTTTTACGGCAAGCATGGGTCAGCTTAACATGGATACCCAACACAGACGCCGAGCCAATCAGTTTTATCTCCTTTATGTCGATCGCCAGGCAGGGTAACAAGTACCATCTTTTAGTGTCTTTGGAATGACGCGGCCGGGGATCGAACCAACCTTTCGCTCTCAGTGGTTAGGTTTCATGTGAAGAACTGCCATAACTGATGTCACCCCATCCTACACATGTGTTGACGAGGATGATGTTGGAGATTTTACGAGTGGTTCCGGAGGACCCGATTTCTTACTATTTTGGGGGGTTTATTTTTTAACACTGCACTCTGCAATATGCCAGCTATATGACGGCAGTCTATAAATAATCGAGTCAGGACCAGACAATCCAGTGATTAAGATATATAGGGGGGGGGGGGGGGGGGGGGGTATATATTTCTGTGTCCTCCATTTTTTATCCCTTGTGATGAAAGAATCACGGTCAAGCATGTCCTGCTTGACTGCAGTGATTTTTCCATCACTAGGGATAAATATTTCATCGCTCAAGTTCTCATTTTATTCTTGTTTTTTTAAAGGATATTGAATTTTTCATAAATTTCATAAGTTCACTTTTATAATTTGTAACTGACAATGTTTGTGGCTATATCCTCGAAGGGGGTTGAAGTAGTGTAAATTATTGTCCCCTAGTCCTGCACCATGACCGTGGAATATATTTATTTTATGAAAAAAACATAATCTAGAAATGCATACAAAAGCAAGTCTAGCCAGCTCAAGCTAGCTTATTTTTAGAGTCAAGAAGGATATTGTGTAATATAAGATTTCAGAGACTAAATGTTAGTCTAATTGTCCCCCTGAGAAGGTATGTAAGACTACGTCTTTCAAAGTATATTTATTTCTACCACGTTTTTAATCGTAGCATATGTGTTGTTTTAATGTTTGCTAAATTTGTCAATAATCCCCAACAGCTGAGGGGATGATGTAAACCCGGCTGGGGTCCATGCAAGTAGCAAAAGTACTGTAAGTCCCCATGGACCCAGCATGGTGATCGCTCTTCTGTAGCTGGCGATCTATAGCTCATTTTTATCTTGTATTGTTACGTATGGTATTATATTTTTATGGTTATGTACTAGTTTTAAATAAAATCTGTGATAAATCTACAAATTTTACTGTTCTTCGACGACAGGCTCTTATACAGTCTCAATATATCTATTTTTGAATATAATACTTTTTCTCGTCACGATATGTCTGAAATAATGCCGATGTGACGTTAAATATTAACTCCCTCACTGACTCGCTATTTCTGTGTGTGCAGTTGAAAGCAGTATCAATGTTTAATAAAGTGTATAAAGCTCATTGTGTTCAGTGTTTTTATCATATATCTCTGCTTGTCAATCAGTCAATTCCCTCAGTTTTGAATGAATCTGCACAGGCTTCCAGCTATATGATGACGGTCTGTAAATAATCGAGAGTATGGTTTGATGCATGCCATCGTATCCCAATTGCTTGGATCGATGGTCACGAGACACGTGAAGATCCGGGGTAGAATAGGTCTTCAACAACCCATGCTTACCGTAATAGGCAACTATGCTTGTCGTAAGAGGCGACTAACGGGATCGGGTGGTCAGGCTCGCTGACTTGGTTGATGCATGTCATCGATCCCAATTTTGTGGATCGATGCTGATGATATCAATCACTGGACTGTCTGGTCAACACTCGATTATTTACAGACCGCCTTCATACAGCTGGAATATTGCTGAGTGCGACATTAAACAACAAACCAACCAAATCTAAATGTAGTTTAGACAAGTATGGCCATGATTGAAACTCTGTTTAAGGAGAAATGGGGTATGTCTTGCGTGTAAGGTGTGTCGGGATTAATGCCTGTTTCATAGTGCGAGTCCACCATATCACAGTTGCTTGGTTGGTTAACGCCGCACTCAGCAATATTCCAGCTATATGACGGCGGTCTGTAAATAATCGAGTCTGGACCAGACAATCCAGTGATTGATATCATGAGCATCGACCCACGCGGTTGGTTTGTTGTTAAACGTCGCACTCAGCAATATTCCAGCTATACGGCGGTCTGTAAATAATCGAGTCTGGACCAGACAATCCAGTGACTAACATCATGAGCATCGATCCACGCAAATGGGATCGATGACATCAATCAACCAAGTCAGCGAGCCAGACCACCCGATCCCGTTAGTCGCCTTTTACGACAAGCATGGGTTGCTGAAGACCTATTCTACCCCGAATCTTCACGGGTCTACAAACATTGCAACATAGTTGCAATTAAAGAACGCTCCTGAGAGACAAATACAGCCGACATAAATACATGTTGGATCATCAAACACTTTATAATACTACATGGTTATATGAAACAAATTCACGTCACATTCATCCCATAAAAAAGAAATAAAGGAACGGGAACGAATGGAGTATTTCGAGGCTTCTACAATCAAGTTAAATATGTTTTCTAATTCAACATTATTAGTTGTATCACGAGGGGTATGTGGGTTTTAGGAGCAAATTGATGGACAACAGCTGTTCCATATTGAGCTAAGGTTAACTTGTGCTATGTCACATGACTGTCATTGACACTGAAAAAGCTGGGATCAGAGATTTATTCCTCCGCTCAGAAATCCACGAATTTCTTCTTCGTGGCGGGGTATACGTGATTTATTCTCCCGCTGAGAAAGATTATTGTCACCCATCCCACTACTCTCCTACCAACATTGCTTGACTTCGCCTTGTGTGAGATCTGAGGGCTGCACATAGGACAACGTGCCACAAATAATGCACTTACATCACATGACAACGTGGCTTTTTAAGGAGTCTAACCACTTTTTTATGACCCCACACCTCTGCAATATCTGCGGCTGTCTGGCCCATCTTAGTCCTTGCGTTGATATCCACAAACTTCTGAGAGAGGATATATCTCACCATCTCCACATTCCCTCCCTGACAGGTCCAGTGAAGGATGTTTTCATCGAGATCACTCACGAGTGTCACGTCAGCGCCTTCTCCAACGAGGAAGTCCACGACATCTTTATGTCCCATCCATGCTGCCGACGCCACTGGAGTCGTTCCGTCAGTCCCTGTAGTGTTGACGTCCATGCCGTTCAGGGAGAGGATATATTTCACCATCTCAACACTTCCTCCTCTGCAGGCCCAGTGAAGTATGTTGAAACCGTACTCGTCCAATAGTGATATATCCGCTCCTTCACTCACGAGGAAATCAAACACTTCTTTGCGCCCTCCATGTGCAGCCTGCATTAGCGGTGTTTTCCCTAAACAGTTTCCAGCCGTGCCATTGATATCCTCCTGACCTTGAGACAAGATGTATTTCACACGGACCAGGTCTCCAAAAAAACATGCCGTGTGGATGTCGAGATCTGAACCAGGTTCTTGTTGGGGGATGGGTGTCGACGTCGATGTTGCTGTAAAATAAATTAATATTGTCATAGCGACTGATTTGGTCGGTATTGTCATAGCGACAGCCTTTGTCTGAATGAACAAGGGTTAATTACCCTGTTGCGATGACACGTATATATACTGAGTCAAATTAAAAACTTCACATTTTTAAAAGTAATCCCATATATGATATACAACGGACAAATGTATCAGAGAAGGTAATTTTTAATCATTAATGTCCAAAGAAGGATTTTAATTAACGGTGGTAACCATAATTTGTTCCAAGCACCTACGGTATTCGGTAATAACATCAACAGTTTAAATCATAAGTCCAAAGCACGAGAATCTGATGGCACACAAGTTCAGTAGCGTGTATGGCCACCATGTGCGTTGACAACTGCCACACAACGCCTCCGCATGGACCTTGTAATGCTCGTGAACACATGATTGGGAAGACGACGCCATTGTTGCTGCAAAATGGGGCCAAGATCTTGCAAATTCTGTGGTTGGTTCTGGAGAGTGCGCAGACTTCTGCCAAGAGCATCCCAGACGTGTTCGATGGGATCGAGGTCGGGAAACCTTGATGACCAGTCCATGACGTTGACTCCCGCATTCTGAAGGAAATTCTTTGTCAAAATTGCTGTGTGGGGTCTTGCATTGTCGTGTTGGAAGATCAAACCGGGTCCATGTGCTGCCATAAAAGGCAGAAGTTCTGGTGCCAGTACCTGGTCGCGGTAAGCAGCAGCGTTGAGGTTGCCACGGATGACAAGAAGCCTGGAACGTGCATTGTCACAGAAAGCACCCCACATCATGACACTTCCGCCTCGAAATCTGTCAACTTCCTGTACACAACACTGGGCGTAACGTTCATGACGCCGCCTCCACACCCTCGCCCTACCATCCGCAAATCGAAGATTAAATCGGGATACATCACTGACGACGACTTGATTCCAATTTCTCTGAGCCCATCGTAAGTGTCGCTGTGCCCACAATTGAAGTTAACGTCTGTGTAATTGAGTCAGAATCGGCCCGCAGTATGGCCGTCGTGCTTGAAGGTGAGCAGTTCTCAGACGGTTTCGAACAGTTTGCGCACTAAGTCTTCCTCTAAACAGTTCATTTCTGGTTGATGTATCCGTCAAAAATCGGTTACGGAGGTGACGTAAGACAATCTGACGATCCTCTGCGTTTGACGTCACACGTGGTCGACCGGCCGAGGGCGATCAGCGGTGGTACCCGTTTGCTGTAGACGCGTCTGTAAATCATAAACAGTCCGTCGACTACAACCCATCGTCCTTGCGACTTCAGCTATGGACGTTCCCGTCTGCAACATGCCGATGGCACGTTCACAATACACATTTGAAAGGCGTGGCATGACAAATGGCCGTAAAGACTTTTGTTTTCTTGTGTTTTTCTTTTTTTGTTAATGGCTGCTAACAAGTATGGCTGAAAACACGTGAGGTATTATGGCCACGTGACCAGTTGCACGTGAAAAAACACTTTTGCCACTATAGTGCTGTGCACATGATTTTGATCGATTCACCTGCACAAAACGGGTGTTATTTGAAGACAATACGTGGCCATTACTGTTTAAATACACAATAAGGGCTCACAATGATAACTGGTCAAAATGTTAAATTTTTAGGATTGTGAAGTTTTTAATTTGGTTAAGTATATGTCTTGAATCAGGTAATTGTCGTTATGTATAAGATGCTAATCCCAATTGTTAATCCCCATTGTATTGTACTTGGCTGTCATACTGAACGAGCTGTGCAACTATGTCACGGATTAATTAGTGTTGTTTATATTTATGACTAACTACACGTCAAGTGACTTTCGGTATATAAACCTTGGTCTAGAGATAAAAATGACTTGGCTTCAACCCAGGCAAACACCCAAACAAATACCTGAAGATAACATGAGAGTAATCCATGAAACGCTCGCTCGCAAAAACCCACTCCTTTATCCAATATCACAACGCATACTAGACTATATAAACATACAAAACCTAAACGAATTAAAACAAAACACGAAACCAAATACCATCTTCACACCCAAACTTCAAACCCTCAAAATAGACACAACACTCTCCTCAAGAATATATAAGCCCACTGACCCAAACACCTCTAAACCCACCACACTAGAATACATACATGGAAAATGGCCAAATTATTGTCACATCTGACCTGGGCTCAAAACACACGATGTGGCATCCATATTTCTCAACCGAAAAAGGAAACAAAATCTTAAAGGCTCCCAAATGACAAATCTTCACGGCCGAGCTATTGGGGATGGCTACAGCCCTACACAACCCCCAAATTGAAAAGGAAAATCCTATTTTTTTCACAGACTCGCTAAGTGGACTTCAAGCTACGAAAACCAAAAACAACGATATAAATTAATACACCAAAAACTTCAAAGCTCAAACCAACTCAGCAAACTAGGCAAACAGATAGAATTTCTATCGATCCCTGTCCATGTCGGAGCAAACCAAGTACCAAAACTCAATCTGTAAAATAAAATATATGCTCAAAAAGACACTCAAAAAAGTGAAAACACACCATAAAATCCAACAATATTGACAGGACAATAACCAAACTACAAACAGGTGACACAAAATTAAACTCCCACAAACATAAAATAAAGAAACACCAAACAGGTAAATGCCGACACTGCCACCAACTAAAAGCACAAAAAACACGTACGACTACATTGTACACACTACAAACAACACAGAACAACGCTCCAGACCAAACTAGACTATAACACTCAGCTGACACGACCAACACTTCTAAATCTTCAAAGCATTAGGCATCTTCCTAATTAAAAATGGACTACTACGCCGCATATAATTACCTACAAAATTAAACTATCACTAATCTAAGAATCTGAAAAATGAAGCACCTACGACCGAGTTTTATGTGTTGTCTTGCCTTGTGTCTATAGCATGTATAGTCATATATGGGTAGTCTTAACAATCTTTAGACTGTGCCTGCCCTCATCTAACACTCTCATTGGTATCAGAGCTAAGCGCTCCCTACCGCTAAAAACGATCTGTGGAAATCTCATAACAGGTTAAATTTACGCCAGAACGACCTTTGACCTTCTAATGAAATGACCATATAACATATCAACCAATCAAAAGGCAGCTTTCTCGAGCATCACGGCGCTAATTTCAATCTGGCGACTTTTGTTCCAGACTAAACTTTGAAAAATAAATAAGAAAACTGAACAAAATAAAAATTCTGGAATGTCTAGTACATGACCGAGATTTTATGGCAGTGCTTCCCACGGGTTATGGAAAGTATCTGCCGTTTCGAATGTTTATACCATTGAAGCGAGAGATAAACGATGGTTTTGGTGGATTCCAGACTTACTGCCCGTAACTGTAGTTCGGAATGTCCCGCGTTAACCTTTCCGAGGCTGAATGATTAGACAACACTTTCCGAATATTCACTTTCGATGTCTCGTAAACGAAGCTTCGATTGGTGGGACGAAAGGTCGTTCTGGCGTGACCTGTGAATAAACTGAGACATTGACTCTGTGTAATTAGATGTTTTTTCTTTGTTTACTTGTTGTTTAACGCCGCACTCAGCAATATGAGGGCGGTCTGTAAATAATCGAGTCTGGACCAGATAACCCGGTGATTATAATCGCCTTTATCAAGCATAGTCGCCTGTTACGGCAAGCATGAGTTGCTGAAGACACAATCTCTACCCGGTTCTTCACGGGTCCTGAGTACTTTGTGAACTGAGACGTTGTCTCTGTGTATTTATATACTTGTGTGAAACTGAGACATTGGCTCTGTGTATTTATATACTTGTATGAACTGAGACATTGGCTCTGTGTATTTATATACTTGTATGAACTGAGACATTGGCTCTGTGTATTTATATACTTGTGTGAACTGAGACACTGGCGCTGTGTATTTATATACTTGTATGAACTGAGGTGAGGTGAGGTGAAATTGGGTTTAACGTCGCGTCCAAGATTATTGCACTTATATAGCGACGTGCATGTACGAGTATGTGTTTGTGTGGCTGCTTGTACTAGTCCGGACTGATGCCGATTTATAGTGCTAGCTCACTGAGATACAATGCCGCAGTTTAACATGAATACCCCACTCAGACACAGTATACTGACTCCGAGCCGACCAGTCCTTGTTTTAGCCCTTTAATGCCGAGCGCCAGACAGGGTAACAACAAGTACCATCTTTTAACGTCTTTTGGTAGTATGAACTGAGACACTGGCTCTGTGTATTTATATACTTGTATGAACTGAGACATAGGCTCTGTGTTTATATATACTTGTGTGAACTGAGACATTGGCTCTGTGTATTTATATACTTGTGTGAACTGAGACATTGGCTCTGTGTATTTATATACTTGTATGAACTGAGACATTGGCTCTGTGTATTTATATACTTGTGTGAACTGAGACATTGGCTCTGTGTATTTATATACTTGTATGAACTGAGACATTGGCTCTGTGTATTTATATACTTGTGTGAACTGAGACACTGGCGCTGTGTATTTATATACTTGTATGAACTGAGACACTGGCTCTGTGTATTTATATACTTGTATGAACTGAGACATTGGCTCTGTGTATTTATATACTTGTGTGAACTGAGACATTGGCTCTGTGTATTTATATACTTGTGTGAACTGAGACATTGGCTCTGTGTATTTATATACTTGTATGAACTGAGACATTGGCTCTGTGTATTTATATACTTGTGTGAACTGAGACATTGGCTCTGTGTATTTATATACTGGTATGAACTGAGACATTGGATCTGTGTATTTATATACTTGTGTGAACTGAGACATTGGATCTGTGTACTTGAATACTTGAGTGAACTGAGACATTGGCTCTGTGTACTTATATACTTGAGTGAACTGAGACATTGGATCTGTGTATTTATATACTTGTGTGAACTGAGACATTGGCTCTGTGTATTTATATACTTGTGTGAACTGAGACATTGGATCTGTGTACTTATATACTTGAGTGAACTGAGACATTGGATCTGTGTATTTATATACTTGTGTGAACTGAGACATTGGCTCTGTGTATTTATATACTTGTGTGAACTGAGACATTGGATCTGTGTACTTGAATACTTGAGTGAACTGAGACATTGGCTCTGTGTACTTATATACTTGAGTGAACTGAGAAATTGGATCTGTGTATTCATAAACCTTTGTGAACTGAGACATTGGATCTGTGTATTTATATACTTGTGTGAACTGAGACATTGGCTCTGTGTATTTATATACTTGTGTGGACTGAGACATTGGCTCTGTTTGTTCAGTGACATGTGTGAAGTGCTTGTCTAAGAGGCGACTGACGAGATCGGCGGTCAGGTCTGTTGTCTTGGTTGATGCATGTCATCGTATCCCAGTTGCGCGAATCGATGGCAGGTCAAGACTCGATTATATACAGACCGCCGTCATACAGCTGGAATATTGCTGAGTGCGGCGTTATACAACAAAAACACACTTTATGTTGGGTGAATAACTGCCAAATGACATCCTTTGGCAGTATTCACAGAAAACGCTACCCCGTGCCCCAGGTGATGCAACAGTCTCCATTCACTCTTGACTGGCCCCTGTCTACCTTCACCGAGCAATACCGTTAAGTTTGTTGCGCAAAGCAACCACGGAACCAGTTTATCGTTTAATTATTTATAGCGTGTTGAACAACGCACCCGGACCTGAACTACTTCTGACGATGTGAGCTAGCAGAGAAACATTGTGGTGTTTAGGATCCTGAACCAAGGTTGAGAGGACTGCCATAATGTTATTGTCTAAAGCCTTGCCCTGACCCATCACCCTAATCCCCATATCTATATGATAATCAGTTTATAATAGCGCTCATGTATTTCGGGCGAAGTACACATGCACTGACCCTCTTCCGTGTGGTGTACATGGGGCTCTGGTTTGTCCTCCATTGTTCGTTGCCCTCGTGAAGAATTGTTCGGAGTAATTTCTGACTGGAACTGTCTGAATATTGCTCGCTGTTCTCTTCCATGTTGTTTGTCTACCATGAGTCGTATAGTAGGAGCGCTCTGATTGGTTCCCTGTCAACAAGCTGGCGCTTCAGCGGCGTAAGCTGGGAGATTCAGATTTTAAAGTTTCCACGCGGTAAATAGTCAGTAACACCCGTAAATGTAAAGACATAATGCAAATCGACATTGTAAATGAGTTATCATAATTACCCCGCAGCTCTCAACATGATTTGTTTATTTTGTTTATTTGTTGTTTAACGCCACACTCAGCAATATTCCAACTACTGTAAAGTACGGTTATAACGAACTCAAAGTGACTACTAATTTTAGTTCGTTATAACCGTATTTCGTTATAAGCATATATACAGCATAACTACAGCAAATAGTCGGGAACAAAAAAGTTAGTTCGTTATATCCGTCAGGTCGTTATAACCGTGTTCGTTATAACCGTAGTTTACTGTATATATGACGGCGGTCTGTAAAAGAGTATCACTAAAGAGTTTATGCGACGTTCCAACAAAAGAGTAATTGAAATGATTTCTACACTTCATTTTTTTCTACATCTTCTCAGAAAACAAGACTATCTCTCGCAAATCTTAAACCTCACTATGAAGCAGCTGTCAACGACGATGAATACTTAGAGGTTTATGTGGCACATTCCATATCATATCCCACATCGCGCTGAGCTTGCGTCGCGTACCAACAGTGGAATCAGTTTATATCAACCCGAGACCCCTCGTATCAACAGACCGCCTCCGTGGTCTAGTGGTAGAGCGTCCGCCCGGAGACCGGAAGGTCCGGGGTTCGAACCCCGACCGCGTCATACCAAAAGTCGGTACCAAAAGATGGTACTTGTTGTTACCCTGTCTGGCGCTCGGCATTAAGGAGCTAAAACAAGGACTGGTCGGCTCGGAGTCAGTAAACTGTGTCTGAGTGGGGTATCCATGTTCAACTGCGGCATGGTATCTCAGTGAGCTAGCACTATAAATCGGCACCAGTCCGGACTAGTACAAGCAGCCACACACACACACACACACACACAAACACACACACGTGCATGAACGTCGCTATATAAGTGCAATAATCTTGGACGCGGCGTTAAACCTCATTTCACCTCGCCTCCGCATCAACCCCAGGGCACACTCAGCTATATGATGGCGGTCCCTTTAAATAATCGGGTCTGTGCCAGACGATACAGAGATTGACATCGTGAGCATTTCGATCTACGCAAATGGGGTACAGTGACATGCATCAACCAAGTCAGCGAGCCTGACCACCCGATCCCGATAGTCGCCTCTTTCGTCAAGCATGGGTTGCTAAAGACCAAACACGGATCTCTTTGGTCGTAGCTCCAATGTTATTGTCTACGTGTTTACAGATCTGTGGGTATTGTAAATATTCGTTGCAGGGTCATTTCATTTGGTAACGACGTCATTAACCGGGCATTAAATTAGGAAATAATCATACTGTGTTTTCAATGTAGAGCTAAATATGTTACCTGATTTAACCGCGCAAAACTGAATTTGGAACCGAACGCGCAACGTGAGGTTTCAAATGTTAAATTTAGCACATTGTGATATGTTTTTAGCGCATTTTGACGTCATATCCCTTATTGTGACGCAAAAGATATGACGTCACAGCCGTATATAGAAAAGCGCCTTTAAAATACATTCTCTTTATAGATTTCTTTCATGTTTACTGCACGAAATGTATTGCCACACGCCCTTTGAATGTTGTAGTAACCGCAACTTTGCATTTTGTAACATATAATTGTAGGTATAATATTATTTATATATGCCCACCGAAAATAAATTAAAAAAATACTATACTATGAATATTAGCTTCTGCGGCCGTCAAATCGGCTGTTGCAACCAGAGGGGGTTTATTGTGATTAAATATCTCTGATTGACCAATCAAAATATTTTCCAAATTTGTGGTAGAATATTCAATAACACTTGCAAATCTAAAAACACTCTCGTGATATTCATCGACTTTGTGGAGGTTATCAGTTGTAAGCTTCCGCGACAACTAAATCCGCCTGGCAAGTCGAAAGTAGAGACAGAAACAACTAGATCTATCTAGAATTTACTTCAGATAAATATTGATCAAACAAGATTATGTGCGGTGTCAATCCGAAAGGCGAGTCTTATTTAAAATTTGGATTGAGAAAGAAAGCACCGTCTTAATAAAAGTTTTATACGGCAGTGTAAAGTTCACAAGATTATCGAGATCAAAACCCATTTAACAACGCTTAAAACCATTCAGAATGCAACACACAGTCCACCCTATATTTTTGTTAAACTTAACCCAGTTGGTCACTTATGATATCCGGGTCAGACCGAACAAATTTTACTTACATTAAATACGCTTCATTGACATATTTTGGTCACCGCTAGTCTTTTGCGTAACCTGCAAGAAGACTCACCCCACATATTGCATTTGTCATCACTCGTCCCTTTTCGTTACAAACATTCGGCCAGTCCAAGAACGGAACGACTTTGTCAATGAAATATGCAGATTTTCAGTGTTGCCCGGATTATAACTTCTACTTCCGGTGCAGTTGCTTGTTTCGTGCAGGTTGTGGTTATTGATATGCCGTAATTATGCATGACACAGGTAAAGACATTCATATTTTATCAGAAATAAATGCTGATTAGATCTTTACTGACACAATACAAACTTTCATCTTTCTCTAGACAATTTCCAGATCATATATTGGACAAGGAAACACATACTGGCTCTTTCGTGTTTGCTTTCTCAGAAAAGTGATCGGGGCATGATATCGCACGCCGTCTGTCAGACATTGTTATGTCGCATATGGTTATAAAGTGAAAAATAAAATATTTTCTTGGCTTAATAAACAGACTATTGCAACATTGCAGTTTGCTCGCCCAGCGTTAGAAATTGGCACTAGTCTCGGCCTGGGACGGGTAACTCGGGACGGGTGGGTCCTGAGTAGGACTCGGGTACCCACAGGACTACCCGGACCCGTGGTTAGTCATGTGATATATTGTTTAATGACAAACACTCACTATAGATCAGTGGTTACAATACAAGTCGCTAGTATTGGCATTCTTTCTGACAGTGCACACGTTCCTTTTGACTTGTTTTTATTTGACTTAGGGGCGGTCGGGTAGCCTAGTGGTTAAAGCGTTCGCTCGTCACGCCGAAGACCCGGGTTCGATTCCCGACATGGGCACAATGTGTGAAGCCCATTTCTGGTGTCCCCCGCTGTGATATTGCTGGAATATTGCTAAAAGCGGCGTAAAACCATACTCACTCACTCACTTTATTTGACAAAATCCGGTTCGTAAACTGTCATGCAGATTTCGGTCGTTTGCAGGATTTGTAAAGCGTGTGCACTGTCAACTCCTTGCTAACAGATTTTTTCCAAATCTTGTCATGTTTCTAATCTAGATGCTCATGTGATTTGGTGCACTTCGCGATGTAAGACCCATTTTATCTCAACATAGATACTGATTATCGATCAGATCGTCTCAACTGAGCGCCGCCATTTTGTTTGAAGCAAATGCAAGTGATACGAGAGGTGGCTTCTAATTCGTCCATAGGAGACTCTTAGATGGGACACAACTCGTAATGGCCACTGGTGGTGCTACGATTGATTGTTTTGTTGTTTTGTTGTTTAACACCGCACTCAGCAATATTCCAGCTATATGATGGCGGTCTGTAGATAATTGAGTCTGGACCAGACAATCCAGTGATTGATATCATGATTATCAATCCATGCAATTGGGATTGATGACATCCATCAACCAAGTCAGCGAGCCTGACCACCCAATCCCGTTAGTCGCCTCTTACGACAAGCACAGTCGCCTTTTACGGCAAGCATGGGTTGCTGAAGAGCTATTCTATCCCGGATCTTCACGGGTCTGCGCTACGATCAAGCCCAGGAATTCCAGGCTAGTTCGGCAAGGGTGGAAACTACACTTAAGTCAGTTAACTCTCTTGCCTCGGGAAGATGGACCCATATTGGAAGAATGCACATTTAGACTGATGATGAAATAAGTGTAAATTATGAAATTATTCTGACACCAAATTAAAACAATTGTTGACCACTGGCCTAAAACACATTGAGATTAATGCAAGTAGCCCTAAACTACTCAACAAACAATTACATTAATACCATGAAGACTGTAGACTTAAAATTCTGTGATATAGTTTGTTGTGATAGCACTGCAATTGTTTCCTATCATTTGCTGTCTTCACAAAGTTTACTTTAGCTGCTTGACATGTGATGTAACTTCCATGAAATCAAAAGCAGAACGTTCTAAATAACGAATATTCAAATGAGACAGGTCGGGTTGCTGAAGACGATTGTACAGATTCCTAGTGTTGTTGGACAAGTCAGTGCAATCCTTGGAACTTAAATGAGTAGTGTTTTTGCTGTACTGCTGTGAGCAATGTTTAAAACGTTCAATTACATTGTTTATTGTGAGCACAGCGTCACTAACTGAAATTTTAATTTATTAGGATTATAACACTGGATAGGTGAGTTTGGGAACATCAGGTTTATGTCTGACTATCTATTTGTAGACTGAAGGTGAGAGGTGCTCACAATGGAGTCTTCACTGCTAGGCCAGGTGATCGCACATCGGGGCGTGGCCTTGGCTCGATGTCTACAGACAGAACAAGAAGGCAAGCTGCCAGTCGGACTGGTCGAACATGTGGAAAGTCAGAGATTTCAGCCAGCGGAGCCGGATATAAAGTAGGCAGTAGAAATTGAATTCTCATTGTAAAAATTGAATTCTGAAAGTAATAATTAATTTGTCAAGTTAAAAATTGATTTCTCAACATGCTCAATGTAAAAACTGAATTCACAAAATGAACATTTGGTTTCAAGCAGAAAATGATTTGATTGCCATCATGGTCAGTGATGTCACATGTTTCCAATGTTTGAGAACATTGTTAATTTGCAACTGCTTGTTCCATACAGGATTTGCTTTACCGTCTCTCTATATTTATTTATTTTTCTATGAAAGTTTTGCAGATAATGTATGCAAAACCACACTGAAAACTGCTCAGATGAGCTGTCATGTACTTTCTCTAATCATCTTCCTCGCCACCCCTACCCCCACCCTCACACATACTCCCAACACCGTCGCCACCCCCACACAATCTCCCACCCCCACTGCCACCCCCACACAAACTCCCTCCCCCACCGCCAGACTCACACAGACTCACACCCCAGCCTCCACACAAACTCCCTCCCCCACCGCCACCCCCACACAAACTCACAGCCCCGCCCTCACACAAACTCCCTCCCCCACCGCCACCCCCAGAAAAAATCACAGCCCCGCCCTGACACAGACTCCCTCCGCCACCGCCACCCCCACACAAACTCACAGCCCCGCCCTGACACAGACTCCCTCCCCCACCGCCACCCCCACACAAACTCACACCCCGACATCCCCATGGGAGGGGAGACATAAATTTGGCTTGGTTCCCGTTGGTGTTCCCATCCTATTTCAGGCCATAACTTGAAAACCGTTCAGATATTTTCGACATTAGCTGGGCATATGTATTGCTCATCAGCAGAATTGGTGCCATTTGCTATTGTGAAATTTTTCAAATTCCAGTGGAAACAATTTTGACTTAGTTTCCCTCTCAAACAACTCCAGGCTTCCATAAACTCTCAAAGTAATAAATATTTTAGTATGAAACTGTACATGTGCAACATAGTTTCATATTTTTCAGTTTTTAAGTTTTTCATTTCGTGTGTTTCCATGGAAACAATGAAGTCTTTTCTACCTTGCTAATGCTTAAAGCTCCTGATTGTTCCCTGTGGGTACATTTACTTGCACAATACATCCAATCTACCTATATATCTATCATCCAAACTGCAGTTACAACCTCAATAGTGTCTGCACGGCATTAACTGTAATGCTGCTTCAATAATGCACTGATTAATCAGATTCTTTAGAGTATGTTTTTTTACTATTATTGTTTTTGGAATTTTCACACACATTTATAGTAACAACAACTAATGTATAAAAAATGGAGGGTTGACACCTGTTTTTATGAGTATAAACAAATTGCAGTTAATAAAACAATAAAATGCAAAATTGGATTGGTTAAACTGACGTCTGTTTTCAGTTTGTAGTCATTTGAACCAGACTCGAAACCAATATTTTGAGGTGAATGTGCCTATGGTCCTCACCACTTGAAATAGAATCATGAAGTATCGTGGTGATTAATTAACGAGGATAGCTGTGTGTGTGATGATACTAATCAAATGAAAACAAGCCATTTAGCTGATAAGGAAGATTACTTACAGTAATGACAAATATTGCAAAGAGTGTGTTTAAAAAAATATCCATTTCGATTGCAATAAACACCATCATTAAGTTTTGATCATATGGTTAGTATCCAGGTAATCTTTGGCAGTACAGTAGAACACGGATATGACGAACTAGAAAGGACCAGAGAATCAGTTCGTTATATCCGTTGTTCGTTATACACGTTTTCGCTCGGAAACGTCCGCCATCTTGGACAAGACAAAACACAATACACGTAGTTGCAGCATTGATTTGTATTAGCAGTGTATATGTTTAATGTTTGTTTCACAGACAAGATTACATGTACAGGTAAGACTAACACAATGCAAATTTAAGAAGGTTGATCCGTCACCGCTGATTGTATTGATTCGCCGCCATTGTGTTGATTCGCCGCTGATTGCATACAGCCAATTGTCAGTGACACTTGACACTGAGTGAGATTTCTCAGTTCGCTATACACGTCACTAATTAGTGATAGATGGGCTTGCTGGTGATCAGATATCAGTTCGCTGTATCTGTTAGTTCGCTGTAGAGAGTTGGTTATGTACGTAAATTTTATACGATATTATATAGGAGATAAATCGGGGATTTTTTAACAGTTCGTTGTATCCGTTTGTTCTCTATATCCGTGTTTGTTATATCCGTGTTCTACTGTATAAGTATTAGCACACATGCAGCTATCTTTGTTGATTAATCATTGTGATATTTCCTGATTCTGTTTCAAAGGGGGTGGACGATGATGTATATTTGAGACAGAAGGCGCCCTTAATTAATGTTAACATGTGGTCAACTAAATGGTATTTGGGGGCAGAATAAGTACTGAGAATCCCATTGCTGGTTGTAAGAGCTGAGCATCTCATTGCTGGTTGTAAGAGCTGAGCATCCCATTACTTGTTGTAAGTGTTAATTTAAACAAGGATTTGGTGGTTGCAATGTGTGAAGTGGCATATGCTTCTGTGCACCCAGCAATCAATGGGTACGCGGTTGGATGAGACGGTTATCCTACCTCACAGGCAGCTTGGGTTGTATACTTCAAAAAGAGCTGAGAAGTAAAGTCCAAACAGTGATCCTTTGATCAGGTCATTTATATAGCACTTTGAGCATGCTTTCTGCAGTGGACTTTGGGCTTGTTGCACATCATTATCCCAGATCTTTACTCCAGTAAGAGTAATTTTCTTTCTGGAACGGAAGTCAATCTATACATCTGCACAAGTGGATGTATTCGAGGATCGCAATTTTTTATATCTCGATACAAGTATCGATCACAGTCACACACTAAGAAAAACATATTGATTCTGTCCTTAAATGTTTGCTTTCATAACTGTTCCACTAAACACTAATCAGTAGTGCACCTTAATAGTGAAAACATAAATATTTTCCTAAGGTGTTTGGCCAGGTATTTGGCCATCCTGTTTATAAAAAGATGGCTTACGCACCAGATAAGCGCACATGCATATCGTATCGTGATACGTATGGGATCGTACAGTTGGTGTATCATCCCAGCCCTAATCTGCACTCACAGGTAGCAGGTCCTAACATAACTTTGTTATTAAATATTCTGTTACCTTCTTCTTTTAATTGTTCCAGAGATGAGAGATTTATTCAATCGGTCAACCGGTTCATCGCCAAAAAGGCTGACCTTCTGTTCAGCAGTGTGGATGAGGAGGTCAAGGTCATTCCGAACAAACAGGAGTTGGAAGGTAAGTGTAGGGAATGTCACGTTGAGTCTGTCGGCTCCGTGTACACGGCCACACAGAAAGTACGGTTTGTGTCAAACCCTATGCCCTGAGGGATAAGCCACTGATATCTTTTACCAGAGTTTGAAAACAAATTGAGGTTCAGATGCAAAGCATTTGTTTATCGCCAGATAACAATTTGGTTATCTTTTTAGCTGTGTTCATGACTTACATTTAATGTAATGTCAATATACATTGCACAATGCCATTTTTCGCGGTAAGGAGCTTCAATTGTGTAGATTACAGCTATCAGGAAAATGTTTGTTACCATGGTTACAATGATGGTGGGGTATATTTGTTCCGCTGTGGAGGGTACATGAATATTTATCCAAACATCATTGACCAGTAAAATTCAAGTATTTTACATGTATGCAGACCTATAGATCATGATAAATAAGCTGAATATTTGCATAAAATATGCAAAATAAATCACCAACACCCAATTAATTTGGAAGTGCATGCATACAAAAATACATGAAAAATGTCAAAACCCCTGTATTATAACTGAATGTAATTACCGGATGTGGTCTTGTAAGCATGCGGACACGGATACCTGTACAAATCTGTATTCACTGATTGAATGCAGCATCACCTACACATAAACTCTACTGCAGTGAATAATGTACAAAAGGGTCTCACTTATTGGAACTGAGGCCTGTATGTCATGCAAATAATTAGTCTTGATGAGGTCAATATGGGAAAACAAGGACCAGACCCGTGAGGTGGTCACCTGAAGGGGTACATGGGAAGCGCCGAAGGGGTACATGGGTTTTATAAAACCTAACGTCGGACACATAAAACCCAAAGTACCCCTTGTGACCCTGCCCCAACTTATAATGTACCCCCCCCCCCCCCCCCCCCCCGTGATCCTGCCCCAACTTATAATGTACCCCTCGTGATCCTGCTCCAACTTATAATGTACCCCACGTGATCCTGCTCCAACTTATAATGTACCCCTCGTGATCCTGCCCCAACTTATAATGTACCCCTCGTGATCCTGCCCCAACTTATAATGTCCCCCTCGTGATACTGCTACAACTTATAATGTACCCCTCGTGATCCTGCCCCAACTTATAATGTACCCCTCGTGATCCTGCTACAACTTATAATGTCCCCCTCTTGATCCTGCTCCAACTTATAATGTCCCCCACGTGACCCTGCTCCAACTTATAATGTACCCCTTGTGATCCTGCTCCAACTTATAATGTACCCCTTGTGATCCTGTTCCAATTTATTATGTACCCCTCGTGATCCTGCTCCAACTTATTATGTACCCCTCGTGATCCTGCTCCAACTTATAATGTACCCCACGTGATCCTGCTCCACCTTATAATGTACCCCTCGTGATCCTGCTCCAACTTATAATATCCCCCTCTTGATCCTGCCCCAACTTATAATGTACCCTTCGTGATCCTGCTCCAACTTATAATGTACCCCACGTGATCCTGCTCCAACTTATAATGTACCCCTCGTGATCCTGCCCCAACTTATAATGTACCCCTCGTGATCATGCTACAACTTATAATGTCCCCCTCGTGATCCTGCCCCAACTTATAATGTCCCCCTCGTGATACTGCTACAACTTATAATGTACCCCTCGTGATCCTGCCCCAACTTATAATGTACCCCTCGTGATCCTGCTACAACTTATAATGTCCCCCTCTTGATCCTGCTCCAACTTATAATGTCCCCCACGTGACCCTGCTCCAACTTATAATGTACCCCTTGTGATCCTGCTCCAACTTATAATGTACCCCTTGTGATCCTGTTCCAACTTATTATGTACCCCTCGTGATCCTGCTCCAACTTATAATATCCCCCTCTTGATCCTGCCCCAACTTATAATGTACCCTTCGTGATCCTGCTCCAACTTATAATGTACCCCACGTGATCCTGCTCCAACTTATAATGTACCCCTCGTGATCCTGCCCCAACTTATAATGTACCCCTCGTGATCATGCTACAACTTATAATGTCCCCCTCGTGATCCTGCCCCAACTTATAATGTCCCCCTCGTGATACTGCCCCAACTTATAATGTCCCCCTCGTGATACTGCTACAACTTATTATGTACCCCTCGTGATCCTGCTCCAACTTATTATGTACCCCTCGTGATCCTGCTCCAACTTATAATGTACCCCACGTGATCCTGCTCCACCTTATAATGTACCCCTCGTGATCCTGCTCCAACTTATAATATCCCCCTCTTGATCCTGCCCCAACTTATAATGTACCCTTCGTGATCCTGCTCCAACTTATAATGTACCCCACGTGATCCTGCTCCAACTTATAATGTACCCCTCGTGATCCTGCCCCAACTTATAATGTACCCCTCGTGATCATGCTACAACTTATAATGTCCCCCTCGTGATCCTGCCCCAACTTATAATGTCCCCCTCGTGATACTGCTACAACTTATAATGTACCCCTCGTGATCCTGCCCCAACTTATAATGTACCCCTCGTGATCCTGCTACAACTTATAATGTCCCCCTCTTGATCCTGCTCCAACTTATAATGTCCCCCACGTGACCCTGCTCCAACTTATAATGTACCCCTTGTGATCCTGCTCCAACTTATAATGTACCCCTTGTGATCCTGTTCCAACTTATTATGTACCCCTCGTGATCCTGCTCCAACTTATTATGTACCCCTCGTGATCCTGCTCCAACTTATAATGTACCCCACGTGATCCTGCTCCAACTTATAATGTACCCCTCGTGATCCTGCTCCAACTTATAATATCCCCCTCTTGATCCTGCCCCAACTTATAATGTACCCTTCGTGATCCTGCTCCAACTTATAATGTACCCCACGTGATCCTGCTCCAACTTATAATGTACCCCTCGTGATCCTGCCCCAACTTATAATGTACCCCTCGTGATCATGCTACAACTTATAATGTCCCCCTCGTGATCCTGCCCCAACTTATAATGTCCCCCTCGTGATACTGCTACAACTTATAATGTACCCCTCGTGATCCTGCCCCAACTTATAATGTACCCCTCGTGATCCTGCTACAACTTATAATGTCCCCCTCTTGATCCTGCTCCAACTTATAATGTCCCCCACGTGACCCTGCTCCAACTTATAATGTACCCCTTGTGATCCTGCTCCAACTTATAATGTACCCCTTGTGATCCTGTTCCAACTTATTATGTACCCCTCGTGATCCTGCTCCAACTTATTATGTACCCCTCGTGATCCTGCTCCAACTTATAATGTACCCCACGTGATCCTGCTCCAACTTATAATGTACCCCACGTGATCCTGCCCCAACTTATAATGTACCCCTCGTGATCATGCTACAACTTATAATGTCCCCCTCGTGATCCTGCCCCAACTTATAATGTCCCCCTCGTGATACTGCTACAACTTATAATGTACCCCTCGTGATCCTGCTCCAACTTATAATGTACCCCTCGTGATCCTGCTACAACTTATAATGTCCCCCTCTTGATCCTGCTCCAACTTATAATGTCCCCCTCGTGATCCTGCCCCAACTTATAATGTACCCCTCGTGATCCTGCTCTAACTTATAATGTACCCCACGTGACCCTGCTCCAACTTATAATGTACCCCTCGTGATCCTGCTCCAACTTATAATGTCCCCCTCATGACCCTGCTACAACTTATAATGTCCCCCTCGTGATCCTGCCCCAACTTATAATGTACCCCTCGTGATCCTGCTCTAACTTATAATGTACCCCACGTGACCCTGCTCCAACTTATAATGTACCCCTCGTGATCCTGCTCCAACTTATAATGTACCCCTTGTGATGCAGGGGAGTGCAGGGATCGACTTTGCTGTATCCAAACTGCACCCGTGCAGGTAAAACATTGCTAGTGCTGGTAGTTTTATTGCCATGTTGCACCCAGTGCAGGCAACATTTTCCACTACAAGTGAATGGCAGCAGTTTTATTTCATAAAGTAGAAAACTAAATACGTTTAGAACTGGATGCAAAACTCTTAGACTCCAGGAAACAAAAGTTCATTGAAATAGTGAAGTAAATAGGTCTGCATGCAGTGAACTCACATCTAATGCATTACAATTACTACTAGAACAGTCACAAGTTTATTTTTTCTTTGAATTTATTTGATATTCAAAATAACTGAAAATTCAGTGTTTCAATTTATGACAAAAAGGGTGCAGCCAATATTTTGGTGGTGCATCCTGATTAATTCACTTGGTTGCACCTGGTGCAGGTGGTAAAACAGAATGAAATCGTAGCCTGCAGTGGCAGCCTGCAGCGCCCCTGGGTCTGTGTTGTACTCCTCTTGTGGCTTGTTGCAGACAACTACGCCATCATGCCCGCCCTGGAGTCCTTCATGGGGATACCAGCCCACATCTGTAAGGATCACTTCTTCAATGTAAGTCAGTGGAGATGGGTAGCCTCATGGTCGTGTCGAAGGCCCAGGTTTGAATCCCACTTTGGTGCAATGTGTGAAGCCAAATCCTTGTGTCCTATGATGCTGGACCTTGCTCAAATACTGCGTAAATCAGTACTCCATACTCGCTCACTCACTCACTCACTAAAACTCACTCACTCACTCACTCACTCACTCACCCACCCACCCACCCACCCACTCACCCACTCACCCACCCACCCACCCACCCACTCACTCACTCACTCACTCACTCACTCACTCACTCACTCACTCACTCACTCACTCACTCACTCACTCACTCACTCACTCACTCACTCACTCACTCACTCACTCACTCACTCACCCACCCACCCACCCACCAACCCACCCACTCACTCACTGTTAGATGGCAGCACCAATCCCAGCTCATGGCATGGATCATACAGGCTTCAAAAGGCCTTGAAGTTTAAGGTCCCTCTACAAAAGCCTTGATTTTGGTTGACAACCTTGGAAAGCTTGCTTCTTCATAAAAGTATTAGATTCTTGATAGGCTTAATTATTTTACTTGTTGGAAAGTCTTGTTACAAACCTTGTGATGTTCATACTGCTTTTTAGGTCTTGCGACTACTATATAGTGTGCTGGATGTAAAAAAATATTGAAAATAAGTCTTATGTTGGAAACTTTAGACCACATATTTGTCCGGTCCAAACCTAAGTATTAACAGTCTGCTGTGATAAAGCTTGAATATTGCCAAGTGTCGTGTCAGAGACCATTCACACACTGACTGTATCATGTCACAGGGCCTGGAGAAGCGTGAGGTGGTGATCGGCGTGGTCACATCAGTGCTGGAGAGCGGCTTGCTCGTATCTCTTCTGTGTCTGGACTCCGGGCGAGCTCGAGAAATAGACGACTTAAAGATCATTGTAAGTATCTATATTCTGTGTGTACATGCAGGTCATCTGGCCTGGAAAGGGGTCATCTTCCCGAGGCAAGAGAGTTAACTGACTTTAAAAGTCCAGTTTCCACCCTTGCCGAACTAGGCTGGTATTATGGAGTTACATTTTGACTGGACTAATGAGTCTATGCATAGTGCAATCAAAATCGCGCAACAAAATCGAAACCCGGTTCATAAACTGTCGTGCAGATTTCGGTCGATTGCAGGATTTGCAAAGCATGTGCACCGCCAACTAATTGTCAACTGATATTTCCCAAATCTTTTCATGCTTTTAATCAAGGTGCTCACATGATTTGATGCATTTCGCGATGTAAGACCCATTTTATCACAAAATAGACTTGATTATCGATCAGATTGTCTTGACTGGGCGCCGCTGTTTTGTTTGAAGCAAATGCAAGTGATACGAGACGTGGAATCTGATTGGTCCATAGGAGAGGCTTAGAAGGGACATAACTCGTAATAACCACTGGTGGCGCTACAATCGAGCCCAGGAATTCCAGCCTAGTTCTGCAAGGGGGGAAACTGGACTTTTAAAGGGAAGATGGAAAGGGGTCAGCTAAGCTATAGATAACTTGAAGACCATCATAAGTACCTCTTGACTGGATCATCTCAGGTCCTTGCATCACATGCCTGGCCCAGGTCACATGATTGCTAGAGATCATATGATCTTTTTAATGTTGGTCACATGATGCCTGCCACATGATTGGTTAAAATTTGTTTAATGATTGATGAAGGAAACGTAATGATTTGGGTGACTTGATTGGTGTACATGGTTAGGTAATATAATTAACAGATATCACAAGCTTTCACGTTCCACGTCTTGTTCTGTCCCGGGGTGACTCCCGATCAGTGTGAGATAACTGTTGATTGCAACACATGTAGTTTATACGAGTTTATTGAGAATAGATCCCAAATATTTGGGGTGAAACGACATAGCAAGGTCATGAAATGATACATTTCATGATACAATATGTATCGCAACACGCATATTTACGCCAAATCATGTGGAAACTTCTTACTGTTATTCAGAGCAAGTTCAAAAGGAAAAGCTAGCTGTAGACACCTGTTCATATCAGCTTTTTTCGTAGTGAACTTGAAATGCTAATTACAACACATTTTGCGATATTTGACTGACAAAAACGTTGGTGTCATTAAACTAGAAGTAAGTAATATCTTTTAGCAAGTGTATCGTCTTGTATCGATATGGAAAAGACATTGTGTATTGTATTGAGGTTGTTCATGCTATCTCCTGTAGGAGAAGACGACAGCAGGGTGGTCAGGCTCTGTGACCTGGGCATGTGTCATGGTGCCCTGGCAGTGTTGAACGTTGTTCATGCTATCAACCACTGGTTTGCCCTTTCCTGTGATACTGCTGGAATATTGCTGACTATGTGGCAGCTGTGAAATTGTCAAATGGCTGAATGTGACATGAAACCAAATTGAAACCAAATCTCACTTTCTCACACAGATATTGTTTTTCTTGTTCAGGTATTCTGCCCTGTCAAGGAAGTTCCCAAGATTGTTCCAGACCAGAGTGCTCTGGAGTCCTTCCATGTCAAAGACATTGTGAGAGGTAAGTCAGGCCTGAGAAGGTGTCAGTGTTACCTTTCCTGAGTGGATTGTTTCTGTTACCTGTCCTGAGTGGATTGTTTCTGTTACCTATCCATGGTTACTTGTCCTGAGTGTTACCTGCCCTCAGTGTTACCTGTCCTGAGTGTTACCTGTCCTGAGTGTTACCTGTCCTTAGTGTTACCTGTCCTGAGTGTTACCTGCCCTCAGTGTTACCTGTCCTGAGTGTTACCTGTCCTGAGTGTTACCTGTCCTGAGTGTTACCTGTCCTGAGTGTTACCTGCCCTGAATGTTACCTGTCCTTAGTGTTACCTGCCCTGTGTGTTAACTGTCCCGAGTGTTACCTGCCCTGAGTGTTATCTGTCCTGAGTGGAATGTTTCTGTTACCAACCCTGGGTGGGAGTGTGCGGTTACGTGTCCTGAGTGGAATGTTTCTGTTACCAGGAATTGTGCTCAATGTGAATCCAGAGACACAGAGGATCATCATTTCACTCCATGAGAAGTCTCTCAACCCCGGACACCCCAACAACCCTAAACTGGTGAGTTGATAGCAGCATACGTCTCTGAACCAACAACCGTAAACTGGTGAGTTGATAGCAGCATACGTCTCTGAACCAACAACCCTAAACTGGTGAGTTGATAGCAGCATACGTCTCTGAAGCAACAACCGTAAACTGGTGAGTTGATAGCAGCATACGTCTCTGAACCAACAACTGTAAACTGGTGAGTTGATAGCAGCATACGTCTCTGATCGAACAACCCTAAACTGGTGAGTTGATAGCAGCATACATCTCTGATCCAACAACCGTAAACTGGTGAGTTGTTAACAGCAAACAAAAGACTCCAAACCCAACAACCCTAAATCCATGGATGGATGGATGGATTCTCCGTCCCTGTTTCTACTTTTCTAGGAAATTTTAATTCTGTGTGCTATTGTATGTTGATATTATTCATGTGGTTTCTAATAACACATACAAAGCTATGAGTTGGTGATTGAATTTAGGTATGAATGTTTGAATAGATATTTTGACAAAGACTACCCGTTTGTTTTCAAAAAAAGGAAATATTCTATTTACTGGATGGCTCTGTTTCCAGGGACTCATAAGTGAAGATGACTTCCCTGTACATTACAGGTAAGAACAGCTTCATTTCTTCTGAATCTTTGGTTACCATGCTGCATTTCCTGATCCTCACCCAAACTGCATCACTTTATAACTTTATAACATTATCACATTATCACATAAAGCTTGTAAACCATGTTAATGTATTTGCTGTTCACACTGCATCTTCTCAAGGCAAGAGAGGTAACTGACTATAAAAGTCCAGTTTCCACCCTTGCCGAACTAGGCTGGTATTATGGAGTTACATTTTGGCTGGACTAACGAGTCTATGCATAGTCAAATCAAAATTGTGCCCCAAAATCAAATCCTGTTCGCAAACTGTCATGCAGATTTCAGTAGATTGAAGGATTTGCAAAGCATGTGCACCGCTAACTCGCAAGCAGATATTTTCTAAATCTATTCACGTTTTTACTCAAGGTGCCCACGTGATTTAATGCACTTCACGATGTAAGACTCGTTTTATCACAATATATAGATCTTGATTATTGATCAGATCGTCTTGACTGGGTGCCGCCATTTTGTTTGAAGCAAATGCAAATGATACGATGGAATCTGATTTGTCCATAGGAGAGTTATAGAAGGGACATAACTCGTAATAGTTACTGGTGGCGCTACGATCGAGCGCAGGAATTCCAGCATAGTTCAGCAAGGGTGTTAACTGGACTTTTAAAGTTTAGTTAACTCCCTTGCCTCGGGAAGATGTTCACATTGGTGTTTATTCAACTTAATCTCTCATTCTTACTCCAGCAACTGGGTAAGAAAAAGTCCCCAGCAACCTATGCTGGTTGTAAGAGGTATCCAAACGGGTCGGGTGACTTGGTTGATTGTGTTTCATCGTACCTCAACCATAGTCCCTGATGGTTCACTGGATTAACTCCGAGTGCTGATGTGGTGTTAAACAACAAACTAGACAGACACTCACTAATACGAGCAAACCAAAGTGGGGTAGATCTGATGATAGAGTGGATTGTTGCCCATGCTTTCAACCACCAGTTTACCTGCCCAGGATTCAGTAAGAGGTCCATGATGTAGTTCAGTGTTTGAAAGAAAAAAAATGCCAGGCTGCCATCAGGACCCACGAACTTCAGAAGCTGCAGGCCCTGACTAAACTCTTTAGACCCACAAACTTAAGAAGCTGCAGGCCCTGACTAAACTCTTTAGACCCACAAACTTCAGAAGCTGCAGGCCCTGACTAAACTCTTTAGACCCACAAACTTAAGAAGCTGCAGGCCCTGACTAAACTCTTTAGACCCACAAACTTCAGAAGCTGCAGGCCCTGACTAAACTCTTTAGACCCACAAACTTCAGAAGCTGCAGGCCCTGACTAAACTCTTTAGACCCACAAACTTCAGAAGCTGCAGGCCCTGACTAAACTCTTTAGACCCACAAACTTCAGAAGCTGCAGGCCCTGACTAAACTCTTTAGACCCACAAACTTCAGAAGCTGCAGGCCCTGACTAAACTCTTTAGACCCACAAACTTCAGAAGCTGCAGGCCCTGACTAAACTCTTTAGACCCACAAACTTCAGAAGCTGCAGGCCCTGACTAAACTCTTTAGACCCACAAACTTCAGAAGCTGCAGGCCCTGACTAAACTCTTCAGACCCACAAACTTCAGAAGCTGCAGGCCCTGACTAAACTCTTTAGACCCACAAACTTCAGAAGCTGCAGGCCCTGACTAAACTCTTTAGACCCACAAACTTCAGAAGCTGCAGGCCCCGACTAAACTCTTTAGACCCACAAACTTCAGAAGCTGCAGGCCCCGACTAAACTCTTTAGACCCACGAACTTCAGAAGCTGCAGGCCCTGACTAAACTCTTCAGACCCACAAACTTCAGAAGCTGCAGGCCCTGACTAAACTCTTTAGACCCACAAACTTCAGAAGCTGCAGGCCCTGACTAAACTCTTTAGACCCACAAACTTCAGAAGCTGCAGGCCCTGACTAAACTCTTTAGACCCACAAACTTAAGAAGCTGCAGGCCCCGACTAAACTCTTTAGACCGACAAACTTCAGAAGCTGCAGGCCCCGACTAAACTCTTTAGACCCACGAACTTCAGATGCTGCAGGCCCTGACTAAACTCTTCAGACCCACAAACTTCAGAAGCTGCAGGCCCTGACTAAACTCTTTAGACCCACGAACTTCAGAAGCTGCAGGCCCTGACTAAACTCTTCAGACCCACAAACTTCAGAAGCTGCAGGCCCTGACTAAACTCTTTAGACCCACAAACTTCAGAAGCTGCAGGCCCCGACTAAACTCTTTAGACCCACGAACTTCAGAAGCTGCAGGCCCTGACTAAACTCTTTAGACCCACAAACTTCAGAAGCTGCAGACCCCGACTAAACTCTTTAGACCCACGAACTTCAGAAGCTGCAGGCCCTGACTAAACTCTTTAGACCCACGAACTTCAGAAGCTGCAGGCCCTGACTAAACTCTTTAGACCCACAAACTTAAGAAGCTGCAGGCCCCGACTAAACTCTTTAGACCCACGAACTTCAGAAGCTGCAGGCCCTGACTAAACTCTTTAGACCCACAAACTTAAGAAGCTGCAGGCCCCGACTAAACTCTTTAGACCCACAAACTTCAGAAGCTGCAGGCCCTGACTAAACTCTTTAGACCCACAAACTTCAGAAGCTGCAGGCCCCGACTAAACTCTTTAGACCCACAAACTTCAGAAGCTGCAGGCCCCGACTAAACTCTTTAGACCCACGAACTTCAGAAGCTGCAGGCCCTGACTAAACTCTTCAGACCCACAAACTTCAGAAGCTGCAGGCCCTGACTAAACTCTTTAGACCCACAAACTTCAGAAGCTGCAGGCCCTTACTAAACTCTTTAGACCCACAAACTTCAGAAGCTGCAGGCCCTGACTAAACTCTTTAGACCCACAAACTTAAGAAGCTGCAGGCCCCGACTAAACTCTTTAGACCGACAAACTTCAGAAGCTGCAGGCCCCGACTAAACTCTTTAGACCCACGAACTTCAGATGCTGCAGGCCCTGACTAAACTCTTCAGACCCACAAACTTCAGAAGCTGCAGGCCCTGACTAAACTCTTTAGACCCACGAACTTCAGAAGCTGCAGGCCCTGACTAAACTCTTCAGACCCACAAACTTCAGAAGCTGCAGGCCCTGACTAAACTCTTTAGACCCACAAACTTCAGAAGCTGCAGGCCCCGACTAAACTCTTTAGACCCACGAACTTCAGAAGCTGCAGGCCCTGACTAAACTCTTCAGACCCACAAACTTCAGAAGCTGCAGGCCCTGACTAAACTCTTTAGACCCACAAACTTCAGAAGCTGCAGGCCCTGACTAAACTCTTCAGACCCACAAACTTCAGAAGCTGCAGGCCCTGACTAAACTCTTTAGACCCAAAAACTTCAGAAGCTGCAGGCCCTGACTAAACTCTTTAGACCCACAAACTTCAGAAGCTGCAGGCCCCGACTAAACTCTTTAGACCTACAAACTTCAGAAGCTGCAGGCCACGACTAAACTCTTTAGAACCCCCATCTAAAAAATACCTGCAGTAAATCAAGACAAGTTTACTGCAGGCCATAAGCACCTATACAAATTTGAAACTATCGGCCCGATATGAATTCTACATGTCACAGGCCAATGGGCTGGCGCTTATTTCGTAACACTCTTTTGTTCTAGAATTGGGCAGCCATGACTTGTTGCTCACAATATCAATCCCTGCTTTGTGTGACCCAGGCTTTATTAGATACAGGCTGTCATCATATAGCTTAAACATTGCTGAAGGCAACAAAACAAGACACTCTCTTGAGTTGGGCGAATGATACAGTGAATCAATTCTCATACTGTCAGCCACTGGTATACTTAACCAGAACTTGATTTTGGGCTGGAATATTGAAGACTGCAGCTCTGCAACATTCACTCATTTTACCTGTGCTTGTTTCAGACGGAAGCTGCATGTGCGCGGGTTGACATTCGATGAGCTGCTGCAGTCCATCATGGGATTCAACAACTCTGGAAACGTGGAGTTTCTGGTGAAGCTCCACAACCTCAAGGACTTCTCCCTGATGAGGGGCATGCACAGGTAGGTTAAAAAGGGGGGTCACAGAGCGCCACTACCTCAAGGACTTCTCCCTGATGAGAGGCATGCACAGGTAGGTTAAAAAGGGGGGTCACAGAGCTCCACTACCTCAAGGACTTCATCCTGATGAGAGGCATGCACAGGTAGGTTAAAAAGGGGGGTCACAGAGCTCCACTCCCTCAAGGACTTTCCCTGATGAGGGGAACACAGAAGAGGGTTAAACAGGGGAGACACAGAACTCCACTACCTCAAGGACTTCTCCCTGATGAGAGGCATGCACAGGTAGGATAAACAGGGGTGTCACAGAGCTCCACTACCTGATTGACTTCTCCCTGATGAGGGGAACACAGAAGAGGGTTAAACAGGGGCGTCACAGAGCTCCACTACCTGATTGACTTCTCCCTGATGAGGGGAACACAGAAGAGGGTTAAACAGGGGCGTCACAGAGCTCCACTACCTCAAGGACTTCTCCCTGATGTGATGAACACAGAAGAGGGTTAAACAGGGGCGTCACAGAGCTCCACTACCTCAAGGACTTATCCCTGATGTGATGAACACAGAAGAGGGTTAAACAGGGGTGTCACAGAGCTCCACTACCTCAAGGACTTCTCCCTGATGAGGGGGAACACAGAGGAGGGTTAAACAGGGGTGTCACAGAGTTCCACTACCTCAAGGACTTCTCCCTGATGTGATGAACACAGAAGAGGGTTAAACAGGGGCGTCACAGAGCTCCACTACCTCAAGGACTTCTCCCTGATGAGGGGGAACACAGAGGAGGGTTAAACAGGGGCGTCACAGAGCTCCACTACCTGATTGACTTCTCCCTGATGAGGGGAACACAGAAGAGGGTTAAACAGGGCTGACACAAACAAAACAAGTACTACATGTATTCTATAAATTTTTTACTTATCCTGCATTACTCCTTAATGCATTCACTGCTTACTTACGACAACTAGAAGGACAGCGCTGCGAAGGTCCTGGGTGAAGAAATAAAGTTGTTGTTCTCAAGTCCCAATCAGTGGCCTTCCGTCGCTGTCCTGTGACCTTGATGACACCTAAGGTCATCTTCACATCACTGCTTGTCGCAGCACAGCTAGGACGTGTCCAAGCGGAGCTCTCCTTTTGGATTAATTTTAGACCTTCAGTTTGTCTACAATCTTAAAAATTGATCTGCGATGGGTGATGTATTCTTTTCATATTACTTTCACCATGTTGTGTAGTTTTATGTGAATTAATTAGGCGTGAAAAGACTCTTGTCTTTTTTCCCGCCAAAATATTGTTGTTCGCCGCCATTTTGAATTGTGTTACAATCGTTTGCCTGCCAAGGTAGTCATATTGTTTACAATTCTCAGCTACGTATGTATAACATATTCTTATGTTTTTAAATACTACTAGCTTTGGCGTAACAGTGAGTTGCGTATACTAAAATTATTGTATACTTTTTCAACTTGTTAAAAATATGGTTGCCGATAGATTAATATCAAATCTACGGCTTTCTTCCAGTCCCGCTTCATCAACAATTCTTTTATTGCGTACCTATGTTTATGCGATTAAATAGTTTTTTGTTGGTATTTTTGGTTTAACATTGAGTTGCGTATATGAACTTTGTATACTCTTGCAACTCGTAGTTTTTGCCGATAGATTATTGTTCAATTCTATGGCATTCTTCCAGTACCGCCTCATCAACAATGGCGTAATTGTGTAACTTATGATTGAGCGTGGTACTAATTGTCGTGGGAAAAATCTTACAAAGATTATCATCCACGTTGTTTGGTTTGCGCGCAGATGTGCTCTCGAAACCCTAAATGAAAAAAAAACAAAAAAACCCTTGGTTTACATTGAGTTGCGCATACAAAAATATTGTATACCCTTGCAACTCATAAATTTGCCGATAGATTAGTGTTCAAATTCTATGGCATTCTTCCAGTACCGCTTCATCAACAATGGCGTAATTGTGTAACTTATGATTGAGCGTGGTACTAATTGTCGTGGGAAAAACCTTACAAAGATTATCATCCACGTTGGTTGGTTTGCGCGCGGATGTGCTCTCCAATCTCTAAATGTAAATAGCCTTGGTTTACATTGAATTGCGTATATAAAAATATTGTATACCCTTGCAATTCGTATTTTTGCCGATAGATTACTGTTCAATTCTACGGCATTCTTTCAGTACCATTTCTTCAATGGGTTAATTGCGTAACTTATGTTTGCGTGGTGTACATATTGTCGTGGAATAATAGCCCAAAGCTCTTTATCCACGGTCATAGGAATGCACGTAGATGTGCTCGCCAAAATTCAAAATGTAATTTTTGTGTAAATCTCTAATCCAACGAGTTTACTATATAAAAGCAGATTACTCACAATCATATTTTGCAGTTATTCCGTCGTGAGACGAGAGGAATGTCACTATCGCAGAATAGCGAATGACATATGGTTCTGTCATTACCACCCAACCGTTATTATCGGCAGGTATTATGACGCCTGTGATTGCAGAAGTACACCATCCACCGAAATCAACAATACCGGAGGATTTTGTGAGTATCGTAACTGCTCCTATTTTTTCAGCCGCCGGACACTTCCAGATACATGTATGATAATCTGTGACGTCGGCGACAGCACCAGCACCAGCGTATCGAGATGCTATGATGGGGGTAGATTAGACGCAAGCCTTGATCCAGTCAATACTTTTGAGCTTTGTGTCTGATTTATCTGCGCCGAGCGCAGCACTTGACTACAACCCAAGCACTTCTATTACGCAAGCGGCGCACGATCAGCTTAGCGCTGTTCCAACATATCCAGCTTAGACCTGCGCCGAGCGCAGCGTCTGACTGATACCCAAGCGCTCCTATCACGCAAGTGACGCACGATCAGCTTAGCGCTGTCCAACATATCCAGCATAGACCTGCGCCGAGCGCAGCGTCTGACTGATACCCAAGCGCTCCTATTACGCAAACGTCGCACGATCAGCTTAGCGCTGTCCAACATATCCAGCATAGACCTGCGCCGAGCGCAGCGTCTGACTGCTACCCAAAGCGCTCCTATTACGCAAACGTCGCACGATCAGCTTAGCGCTGTTCCAACATTCCAGACCTGCGCTGAGCGCAGCGCCTGCGTACCAATCAAGGTCTCTACAATGACGTTAGCCCAAGGCTTACAGTGTACTCGGTTACGTAACCGGCACATGATCAGCTTAGCACATGATCAGCTTAGCACATGTACCCAATTGGGAAGCACACCATCTCATGTCAGTAACGCCTTCCCCTGATAACAGGGTAAATAAGAGGGACACCACAAGGTCATTAGAGGAAGACTTCTCCAAAACTCACATTTGCTCCGTGATTTAAGCGACCAATATCGTCAATGTTTGCAGTGGATCAGAATCTATTAGAGGATAACCATATCTGATTAGATCACTTCCAAACTATGGTGTTTTTCCTACAGCGTCAGTTTGACCTCAGGAAAATTCATCTTGAGACCGTTCTGACGGAGATTACCGTTACACCCAAGACTTTATAGCGTTTCCAACTGAGATGCTGGTTTCAAGGGCAGTCTATTACTTCAACCTTGGTCATCTACTCCCCTGTTCAACGAACAGATCGCAGACACGCACGTCAAGTTCCCAAATAGCTTGGAAAGTCCAAGCGGGCTGGCAAGTCAGGGAATTATAAGCCTAGACGCGCGTTTCTCAGGGAAGACCAGCATTCCCTTACTGAGAAAGGGAGTGGCAGAGACAAGTCTCAAGGACGATTTCGTACTTATCGCACTATATCATGGTGTCCGTATAAGGGTAGAGATAACCCCATCGTTGACCACAGTTTGATTGGGAAAATCCAACATAGACATACTGTTGGTAAGAAGAGCTGTAGAGTGGGTTCACAACCCAGTCTTTACTCCGGGGTTTTATCCTCACACGTACCTGGTACTCATGAAGGACCCAGACAAGATGAGAATGATCCACAATCTCTGTGTTCAACGAACGTTTGATTCTTGATCAGTCTCGACTATCCATCCCATCCGTAGACTTTTCAGGTCCGGTTCATTGGGGTTCACTACCAATGGTAGTATTTCCCATTTGACATGTCAGTGACACTTATGGCTATTTACAGGAGTAATGAAGCCAATAACTATCTACACGTGACGAACACTTGGTTCGAGTCGTAGATGGAGGGCGATCTACTGTATCATCAACACATGTCAATAACTGGGATAGACAATCAACGAGGCGAAGTCGGGAGTATTCTCCTTCCTATTGACTTCAGTTCATAGGAGACCTGTTTAAGACAGACCAGGATATCCTATCTGTACCGAGGGGCAGATGGCACAAGTTTCTACTTCTTTTGTCATCTACTCTACACCAACCACACACACTTCGCCAGTGGCAAGTGTTGCTAGGGTTAATCACCTCGGCACAGGAGTTAACTAGCATGGGCCGCTTACAACTGCGACCAATTCATTTTTTTCCTGAACCCTTACATCAGGAGTCAGGATCCACTCAAGGCCATCACTCTACCGACTAAGCTAGAGCCTTGCCTCAATTTGTGGCGCTGAATGTCTGCGGAGTCTTTTTTATTCGGGTTTTCCCCGAATACACACCTGTTTGTGGACGTCCCCTTTCAGGGGTGGAGTCTTCACTTACAAGACCAGATAAGCTCAGGGCTATGGCCCGGTGCACAATGGAAGTGGCACATAAACAACTTGGAGTTGGAAGCTTTAATTCTGGCTATATCACATTGGCAGAATCAACTACAAATAGCCCGACTAGCTATATCCACAGACAACAGCACTGCGGTGTGGTGCCTGTGCAATCGGGGAACAACACACTCCCACTCTCCACTTCTAAGGACATTCAGATTTCTTCCATTTAGTGGATCGGCTGTGACTAAGGTTCATAGTTCAGCACATCCCCAGATGTAGAAACATACTGGCCGATACTTTATCACGTCCAGACAGGGTGGCTCCCACCGAGTGGAAATTTCTCACAGAAGCATTCCAGTTACTGCTTCAGGAATTCAGGCAACCAAACATTGACTTGTTTATTACTTGCCTAGGCCACCAACTCATGACGTATATCTCCCCGTTGCCGGATCCGCAGACTTGGGCGGTGGACGAGTTCAGTATCACTTGGGAAGGGCAAAGAACTAACACTCTTCTGCCACCACTTTTACTTCCCAAGGTGCTACAGGGGATCAAGGCGACAAGGTATCTCGATCTCTCCTTTGGTCGCACCCTGGTAACCGGCGAGAGGGTAGTTCGTCAAGCTCGGAAAAATCTAAAACGATTCACTTCCCCTCTCACAGTGGTCCAACCTACTCATCCACCCTCAACAGAAAATTGCCTCACCCAACGTCTGCACGCATGGTTCGTCTTTAAAAGGCGTTTAAGTGCGAAGGGTTATTTCGACACGGGCAGCAAAGCTATAGCTTTAGTTCATCGTTACTCTCCCAGAGACGACGATGACAAGTGGGGATCACTTGAGACTTTTTACAGGGAAGAAAAGAATCAAGACCCTACGATTGCGTCACAATTCCTAGAGGAATACCTCCTACATTGCGTACCCAAAAACACTTGGAAGGTAGCACCATTACTACGTAATTGGCTGCAATTATCTTAGTGTTGGCCGTTTCAGGAAAATCACAGTGTGATTAAGGTCACGGAACTACAGGCCATATTATGCTCATTCAGGTTTGAGGATCAGAAGGCCAAGTTCCAGCCACCTGATTGGGACTTGAACGTGGTACTTCGAGGTTTGCGAGGGCCCCCTTCGAGCCCCTCATTGCATCCTCATTTTCAAGCTCCTTCCCAGCACGTGACACCTTCGTTACACTCTCGGTATAGTACAGAGAGCTCCGCGAACGTGCTATCGCTGTGAGGAGCTTGGACATCACCAAGGAAACAATGGTTTCTCTTGGCATTAGCAATGGCGGTACGGGTGAGCGAACTTCATGTGATCGACTCAACCCGGATCCGTTTTGAGCATGGGACGCACGGAACGGGACATCAAGGGTTATGCTGGGATTTTATTGCTAAAATCTACTACCAGGCCAACCCGACCGTTCCTTCTACCATCCCACCGATATCGACTATTGTGGGAATCGTACATGGTGAAGTTCTCCTGGGCTCGGTGCGAGCAGTTCGAGTTTTCATTCGACGCTCCAAGACTAGGCGTGGTTCGTCCACGACAGAAGTTAGTCGCATAATCGCAAACACCATATCTCTATGGTTACGCGCAGTAATCCTTCAGGCCTACGAGATCATCAAACGGAACTCGCATTCGTGACCAACTCGAGAGCGAATTACCCTCAAGATCTCAAGGTGTCAGCCTTACCAGGGCTCAACACGGCAATTGTGGTTTTGGAATAATCACGGAAGGATATTTCTGGAGATTCGACACATATTTTCGTTAGTCATAACCTTCGCGTTGGGGCTCTCGAGGATGTCGAAGACGTTCGAAGTTTGGCCCTCTGGTTGTTATCCTGCAGATTGCCAACCCCTGACGCAAATAATGAATTCGCCCTATACAGAGCCAGTCAACTTCCATGTGCAGTCACTCAGTCGTCACCAGTGGAAGAATATTAGACAATCTTGTTTGTCAGCGACGGCTCTATGACACAGTAAGTAAAGAATTAGATGAATAGCTATTATTTTCTTTATTACTAAGCGTGTATAGGGAATTTCTCTTTAATTCCTATGTTCAATCTTTTTGATTTTTGAACAACCCTACCGTAATGGCGTTTTTGTCGGAACTTTTCCGCTTCACGGTTTAGCGACCAACTGGTGTCGTATTGCAGGGTGTGAATTATTGAGGTTTCTGTATTCTGAAGGTTTACCCACCTCCAAACCGTCCGATACAGATGCATTAAGGAGTAATGCAGGATAAGTAAAAAATTTAGTAAAATCTAAATATTTTTTACATTTGTATACTTATCCTGCATTACTACGCTTAAGGCCCACCCGTCGTTAGACTTGCCTCCCCACTTTGGCTTCAGAAACCTCAAAAGTATGTTTTTCTAAGAGCTTGGGCGACAGGCAGTGATGTGAAGATGACCTTAGGTGTCATCAAGGTCACAGGACAGCGACGGAAGGCCACTGATTGGGACTTGAGAACAACAACTTTATTTCTTCACCCAGGACCTTCGCAGCGCTGTCCTTCTAGTTGTCGTAAGTAAGCAGTGAATGCATTAAGGAGTAATGCAGGATAAGTATACAAATGTAAAAAATATTTAGATTTTACTAAATAGTAGCTTCTGCAGTGATGCAGCTGTCAAATCAGCTATTTCAATCAGAGTGGGTTTATTATGATTTTATAACCTCTGATTGATCAATCAGAATCGTGTAAGTTCCAAATTCACAGTAGAATCTGGAGATAAACACACTGTATTTTCATTGTAGAACAAGGTTGCCTGTTATAATTTAGAGTGGTTATATCTACATGTAACCTAGCTCTGCATTGAAAACACAGTATGTTTATCTCCATTCTAAAAAAATGTATGTATGCATTATCTTTACTCCAGTGAAGAGCTCACAAAAGTGTTTGTTTACATGAATCTCTTTTTAAGAAAATAATCTGTTCCTGAGAATGCTGAATTATAAATTGTTCTCAAGTTTATCGTCACACACAAACGTATCCTTGTGTATCTTCTGATTGATAATGTGTAGTGTGTCCATAACTATAGTAACATGGACGAATCAAGTAGTCCCTAACTCCTTTATACTAGAATAAAGTGTTTGGCATTTTCAGTGAAATTAAATTGAAGTGCTGACAATAATCCCCAAACACTGATTCGTGTGTTCCAGTCTGAAGCTGCCGGAGAAGGAATATGCGGAGAATCTGCGCAAGTGGCAGTGTCAGCGGCTGGCCCTGCAGAGGTAAGTCAGTCGGCCTTTTTTTAAAAAAGATCAGGCAGCATTGAAGATCAAGAATGTTTTTATTTCCTTATAAGTAATGCTATCTTGACATGAGAAAAATTGTTTTCTTAGAAGTATGTTATTTTTCTAGGAACCATTTAAGATATTCTGTGCAAAGAAAGTAGGGGATGTTTTGAGGTACTACAGTAAAATACATTAATATCTAGCAATGAAACTAAGGGATATCCAAAGAAATCAAGCTCCCAAACCCAACAATGTTACAGTCATGAATCATGTGACATCCGACGGCATGTGCAAGAAGTGGTATGCCAGATTTACCATTGTTACTCAGACTAGACTGTGAGTAGACGTACATTTTCGCTACCATCTAGATTCAGAAGAAATGTCTTGATGTTTCCCACTATCCCTTATTTTTTGGGCATAGTACCGGTATAGTTTCTATTTTAAGTGTATATTTTTGTTTTATTGATTTTCCATTTAGATTTGCCAGTCACAGCAAGTTTAGTTCAATTTGCAATTTTAGCCACTAGTCCGATGCACAGATGGTTTGTTCTGGTGAGCTCAGCTAATAATTTTCATATACCTATCATTGATAAGACGCACTTTGCATGTGTGATAACGCCAACATGGAGACAGTCATATCACAGGGGCGTAATAACCAGACCCATATTACACCTCTGCTGGGCTGATATGGCTTGCCAACGCATTTGAAATGGGCGATCAATATTATAAAGTATTATAAAGTTTGCTTAAAATTATACTAGTTAACTAGTTGACACAATAGGTTTTGGTAAAGAATCTGTTCAAACATCACAATCTTTGTCAGCTAATTCAAATTTTATTACGTAGATCAACCTAACATTAAATGATAACCAAAATTACACAGAGACTGTTTTCATCGTCAGTTTCTTCATCTAGACTTTGTAGGCATGGACTGGAAAAAGGTATCTGACAATGTCTCTTTGATGTTAGAAAATAATTTGAAATGTGTATTTGTAACAAAGGTCTGCTAGTTCTTATTTACAAAAGAGTGTTTGTTTGACAGTGTGGCCCAGGGTGTGTCGCTGTTCAAGAAAGGGAGGCAGATGGAAGCCATGCAGCATCTGAACAAGGCTCTACAGATCGATGAGACCAACGTTGAGGCGCTTGTGGCTCGCGGAGCATTGTGAGACAAGTTCCATCTCATTAAATTCAGATCTTTTACTCCGATATTATACCTCTCTGCATGAGGATCTGTGTTAATGCGAGGTCAAGTGAACATTTTCATGGAACCGGCATACCTGAATGCAGTATCATGAAAAGGATTTAAAGGGACAGTTCTGAATGTAAATTATAAAGTCTATGCCATTTTAGTTTTGTGAGTGAGTGAGTATGGTGTTACACCGCTTTTGGTAATATTCCAGCAATATCATGGCAGGGGACACCAGAAATGGGCTTCACACATTGCACCCATGTCGGGAATGGAACCCGGGTCTTTGGCGTGACGAGCAAATGCTTTATCCACTATGCTACCAGACATTATTTTTGTGGATAAGGTGTTATGTTGCTAAGGTGTCACCGAATCGTATGGATATGGATTCATATGCCAGATTAGTCCTGGTTATCATTTTGGTTTCGTCCTCGCAATATCTTTGTAAAGACCGTAGGTCAGTGTTACAGCAAGTGATCTTCCCACCGTCGGCTGACAACTGAAATCAACACTATATATTGATACTTACAAAAAAACGGTGAAATGTATGTGAGTACATATTTCCAGACTTGTCCAGGCTGTATCCAGAGTTTTGTAACAGTATCATGTCCATAAGTTGTCCGGAGTTTTGTAACAGTATTATACATGTCATTGTCCAAAAAAAGAACTTATCTCTGTGAAGGTACGCCAACAATGAGAGTTTCACAAGAGCAATTGAGGACTTTGAACAGGCTCTCAAGATCAACCCAACACACACCAATGCCAGGAAATATCTGTTGGAAACCAAGCTGGCCCATGGAAAACTGTGAGTTATTCCCACCCACAAGTCTAAAAAACTGACATTCTCAAAACCACCCACAAGTTTGAAAACTGTTTGCACTAGTCTAGAATCTTTTTAAAAACCACTGAAATATACAATGTTTGAGTGAACCACCCCATTCAGCTTGTAGTGCCTAATGATTTGCAACCATTTTGCTCTACAGGAACCCCCCACCCGTGAAGATTCCGGGGTAGAATAGGTCTCCAGCAACCCATACTTGCTGTAAAAGGCGACTATGCTTGTCGTAAAAGGCGACTAACGGGATCAGGTGGTCAGGCTCGCTGACTTGGTTGATACATGTCATGGATCCCAATTGCGTGAATCAATGCTCATGATGTCAATCACTGGATTGTCTGGTCCGGACTCGATTATTTTACAGACTGCCGTTACATAGCTGGAATATTGCTGAGTGCGGTGTTAAACAACAAACAAACAAACTACAGGAACTCCCTCACATCAGGCAACCCCTATCTCAACTTATCGGAAACGTTAGTCAATAATCTATTGATCAAGTAGATATTGAATCGATGTATGGGGCTTAAAAGTACTTCCTCTGGTCGGGTGACCTCATTTGCATATTTGTTGCGGCTTAATACCAAACTTATTTAATTGGTTTGTTGCGTGGATAGCACCATCCATTATTCTTAAGGATTTAGCTTCACACTTAGTTTTTAAGCATGGCAAATATAGCCTGCTTTTTTCACCATTTGTGAACATTGTTGTACACCTGTAGCAAACTAAAATTGGCTGTCAGCTGTATAGGTATATAACCTACACCTAATAAGTATACTACATGACGTGCTACTCTATGTATAAATATGTAAGTTGTAACATTGTACTGAATTGAATAAAAAATATTTAAAAAAAAAAAAAAATAAACCACCATCCTTTATCATGTTTATATAAGAAAAGTAACACTATATTATCAAAATTTACTGTGCTAAACCTGACAACATTTTTCAGATTTGAAGATCAGAAGGATTATGTGACATCACGGGAGTGTTACCGCCAAGCTGTAGCCCTTGACCCGACCAGTGAAGAGGCCTTGACCTTTCTAAGATCTTTGGAGCACAGGATGGTATTATTACAAAATATATCAAATATAATATCAAAACTTGTCTTCGTTCTTCTTTTGATGCTGGTGTGGAAACGTCCTAGAACAAAGTTTCCACCTTCAAAACTCCATTGGGTTTCCTTGTAGAATGCAAGTGCTAGATATACATAGTGTTGATTGATGAGTGGTCGGGCTTGTGGTATCTGTGGCTTATCCTTCAAGAGCTTTCCACTTATTGTAATATAATGATTTAGTGGAAGTGCGATGTGCCTCAGTAACAGTTTTGGCCACTCTTTTGGAATACCAAAGCTCCAGATAACTTTTTGAGCAATTGAGTTTAAACTCTAGGGTCTCTTTTTTATTTGGATTGTTACATTTTTCATTGGGTAACCAAGATTTTTTCACTCATCTATTCATCACTTTTTTTTGGTTTTTACCAAAATTAGTAAACATTATAAGATTTTAAAAAATATGAAATAATGTTTTAGATGTATATAACTGTTCTAAATATCTCATGATATAAAGGCTTGACTTGGAAAGTAAATAAGCTCATTATTGTGTTTTGGGAAATTAGCCCCTTTGTACGCATGATGAAAAAGCTTCCTAGGGTATTTACGAGTGCTGTTTTTATACATTTGAGTTTCTCATTTATTGCATGCATTTCTGTATGCAAGTCAATTGAAAGTAATTGGGTTTTGAATATTTTGGGGGGGAATTTTACGTAAAAACCCTGCTTATAGCTCTGGAAATCCTTTGGCCACAAGGTTTTTTTTGAGATGGGCCAAACGGAGAGATGGAATGTGTCTGGAGAAGGATGCAAATGGTTTGATCTGGTATCTGCGAAGATTCCACCTAAATAACAAAATTGTATTCTGTATTTTACTCAAAACATGTCTGCACACCATGTCAATGAGAAAGTTTATGAAGAGGTATGTCAGGTAATGTGTGTGTGTGTGTGAGTTTGGTTTAACGCCGCTTTTAACAGTATTCCAGTTATATCGCGGCGTGTCAGCTTAATGTAGGAAGAAAGCCCGAAGTGATGCAGGTCTAAGACGTTTACCACTTCGGTGAAACCCACGAGCACGGGTATGGTGCTGACAAACCTAGAAACATAATTGGGGCGAACCGGGATTCGAACCCACAATCATAGGTTTCTGGCGTGCCCAAGGGACGCAACTCTGCACAGCGAATCGCGGCGCCTTAGACGACTGGGCCACCCGTGCCCACTGTCAGGTAATGAGTAGGGTTGTATCGCATGGGATTGAAGTGTGGCATGACCCATTGTTTAGGTGGTAACCATGGTGATGCTGGGACGTGTTCAGGTGAAATGGGTTTTTTTAAGCTGGAAGCTTTGTTCTGACATTTCAATACCAGGGTTGAAAGAAGAAGTGAGTTAGGATAATAATCTAAATACACAATTTATTTAAGATTTTCAAAATATCCTTCCACAATGCCCTAGTAAGGATTTTGGGTTAAAATGAGTCCCAAATTGGTCGCCTGTCATAAGAGGCAACCAATTGGTTGGTGACTTGGTTGATTGTGTGTCATCGTACCCCAAAGATGTGGGGCGTTGCTTATTATATCAATCACTGGATTGTCTGGACTATTTCCAGACTGCCTTTATGTAGCGGGAGTATTGCAGAGTGCGGTGTTAAACAAACAAAGTAATCTTCCCAGATTTGAAATAAACATGCAAGTTTGATTAGACTGCATAAGGTACATATATTTCACCATTGGGGGCAGTGGGATAGCCTAGTGGTTAAAGCGTTGGCTCGTCATGCCGAAGACCCGGGTTCGATTCCCCACAGGGGTACAATGTGTGAAGCTGATTTTCCGATGTCCCCCGCCAAGATATTGCTGGAATGCGGCGTAAAACCATACTCACTCACTCACTGACCGTTAGCTTGGGGCTGTAAAACTTATCTGTCTTGCTTCGCATACATTCATGCACAGTCGTTGGATTGTCTGGTCCGCCGTCATATAGCTGGATTATTGCTGAGTGCAAGAACGTATTTTTAGATTTCTGTGCTCTTATCTTTTTTTCAAATCCATCAAAGAAAGAGTGATGGCGTAAATAACAAGAAGTTTCATTTATTTCACATTATGGCTTGATGTTTCAATATGCAAACAGAAAAATAAGTACAGTGTCACTTTGTTCAGGTCACCACTGGCATGCCAGCTCAACGAAGCCGTTCCCGAGATGGTAGAGACGAGTCACCAGTGCACCACAGGGAATTGTCCGGGCACAGACATAGAGAAGAGTCACCACGGCGACGTAGAGATTGTTCACCACGGCGACACAGGGAAGCATCACCCCGTCGTCGACATGATGAGACTGTCTTTGAAAGGGCAACTGATAAATTAAGACGTCTTATAGAAGAAGAGCAGCAGGAGCCAAGGTAATCCACCAAGGGAATGGTTCACTTGGCGAAAGTGGTTATTAGCCGAGTATGTTTCTGTCTCATAAATATCATATCTTTTTCCATGACTAAAATTGTGTCATGAGAGTCTAAGGATAGCGTAATATATACTTATTGTTCCTGAGGCCAATCTTTATCTTCAGCTTGGTTTACAAATGCACCAACTGAAACAATGAAAATGTGAAAGATATTAACATTTTTCAACATACTGACAGGAATTTGGGGGCCAAAAATAGATAAATCCTCCAAAAATTAAGTCTGTCCTAATATGTACTGAACAACAAAAGTTCCTGTGACATTGAATAAGATTTAATGCAAAGTTATGTTTTTTACCAAATCTGAAACAATTTTGGTTTGCAACAGATAAAAGACTCCTGTAAGTGTTCAAATGGTTTAATTTGCCATTCTGACTTCAGAAAATGAGTGATTTCATAAAAACATGAACATGCCAAAATGTCAATTTACAAATTAATAGCGTGTGTGTCCACCTCTGGTTGTGATGCAAGCAACACATCTTCGTCTCATGGAATGGACCAGGCGTTGCACTTAGTCCTGTGGGATATCTGTCCATATCTGCTGGAGCATGTTTCGAAGTTCCTGGAGTGTCTGTGAAACACGTGGTTGACGTTGAAGGCGCCGATCCATCTCATCCCACATGTGCTAGATTGGTGAGAGATCAGGGGAGCAAGCCAGCCAGGGGATGACATTCACCTTGTTTTGTTGAAGAGAATCCCGAACAAGTCGAGCAATATGAGGCCGGGCATTGTCATGTTGAAATGTAATGCCTGGGCCATAACGACGCAAAAACGGTAGAACAACAGGGCCAATGATCTTGTTGCGGTAGCGCTGTCCATTGAGATTTCCCTTTACCACTATCAAACGGGTCCTCTGTCTTGCTGTTATCCCACCCCATACCATAACGCTGCTGCCCCTGAACCAATCTTCTTCCATGACACAATGATTGACGTAACGTTCACCTCGGCGTCGGTACACTCGAATCCATCCATCACTGTGGCTGAGGTGAAAACGAGACTTGCCAGTGAATAGAACTTGTCCCCACTGCATGGCCGTCCAGCGTAGACACTGTCTGCACCACTGTAGATGTGCTTGACGGTGGTTTCCTGTCAAAATGGGACGTGTGGCGGGTCTGCTGGTGACAATCCCTGCACATCTGAGGCGGCGACGTACGATTTGTAAAGATATTCGTCAAAGCCCAGAGGTGGTTCATGCAGTCACTGTTGCTGGCTGGAATCGATTTCGTAGGTGTGTTGTTCGAATCTAGTTGTCTTGTCAATTATTGGTTACGCGTGGCCTGCCACTCCGAGGATGGTCTCTGACTGCATTCCATTCGTCTGTTGCCAATGTTGCCATAAACACCAAATGGTGTTTCTGTGGACGTTAAATTGTCTTGCAACATCATGTTGACTCGATCCTGCTTCAAGCATACCAATGGCTCACAGACGCTTATTTTCTGACATACGTGGCATTTCGTAATGTTGAATAAATGCGTAATTTTGTTGTTTTTCTGAGGAATTGTTGTCAGCACGATGCTAAACAATGCATATGGAATCCCGTAAACGCACATGTTTTTATACCCATTCATGGATAGTGAAATGCATGGGGCTTGCATAAAAGTCAACTTTTGCATGGAATGCATGCTTTTCTGTAGCAGTTTTGTTTTTGTGACGTGATTCCATACATGTACTACAATATTGAAAACTAAACTTAACTTGTTTGAAAAATACACTAAAATATTGGTGTCACAGGAACTTTTGTTGTGGAGTATATGTCATTAATAACACACAAACACACCAGGGCAATATTCTCTTTGTCACATGCAGTAGAACAGGGTTTCTGGACAAGAGAAATCAGTTTGTTGTATACTTTGTTCATTATTTTCATGTTGTTCGTTATGTATGTTTTCTCTTGGATTCATGTGCCATCTTGGATACATATTTGAGTCATTTTCAAAAGATGTCACTTTTTGAGTTTCCAAAATTACAAAATCCAATGGTTGATATAATATCTTTTTTTGGTTTAAATGGAGTAACAAATATCTAAGGCTGTCAGTAACATCAAATGGAAGTCTTAATGATGCTTTTTAGAAAGAGGAATAACCAGTTACCATGGCTCCTGAAACTTGGCTTGTCTTTCCCATAACAATGTTTGTGTGAATTATTTTGGTTTGAAATTCATGAAAATGCAAAAAGCACATACGAAACATATTTATTTCTTCATATTTTTGTATATTAAACTTGAAGTGAGGATGAAGGGCATTTATTTAGTCTCTTAAAGACCAATATGTACTCAGTGTCAATTCTATGAAATACTGTTACCCCTTCAACATAAATATTATGATTTCTAAATTTTCAAGATTTCTTGGAGGTTTTTTATTTGATGAACAAAGATAAACTGTGATTAACTTATGTCTCATTGCGGAAACTAAAGACATATTAAGATATATATATTTTTTAAATGAGTGCGTTATAGGAAAGACATGCATGTTACAGGATTGACTATATTTGTTACAGAAAAGACATTGCAAATTCATATCATCAGTATGCAAAGAGTGGTAAAGATTATCTTAAATGTTTCTCATGTACATAATAATGCTTGCAAAAGTAATACCAGTCATTATCTTTTTCAGTTATATTGATAAATTTATTCCAACTTTTTAAAGGATAAATTCTAAAATCTGTTACAGTAAGGACAATAGTTTGTTACATGACAGAACAAATTACCATACAATGACATTTTAGATCACAAAGCAGTTTCCGCATTTTTACTGTAATAGCAAATGTGTTACTTTGAATAACAATGCACATGTTTGTTATATTTATATTTTTAAATGATTAATATGAAGAATGTTACCTATGACCTACATTATAACTGTTACAGGAAAGACCTAAGACGTTACAGTACTGACAATGTGAAACAAAGTTTTGGTCAGCCTAGTTAGTTCACTATCATAAGTAAACAAAGGTTTACCAAACAGGGGTACCACTAGATGTAGTTATACATGTAGTTATATTTCCATCTCATTGTGAAATCTCCAGATTGATGTGATAGAAGACAGTTATGGTGAAGACAACATTTTGTTAATGAAAGACATTTAGAGAATAGTTTTCATGTCTTTTTATGGTTTCTATGATCAACAATCAAATCCAAAGTTTTTTAGGTTGAGTATAAATTTTACTAATATTGTGAAACACTGAAAGTATTTGGTAAAAGAATTGTGGTATATTTGAGACAATAAAGACTTGGTCAACTTGTAGAATGAACAATTCAGAAAATGTCAGAAAACACATGACCTACAATTAGAACACAACTTTCAACTGCAAGTAAGAATCTAAACTACAACCTGGAATGCAACACTTGAAACATCAAGCCATCTAAGAAGAAAGTTGAAAGATTATAGCTGTCTTCCCAAGACATTATACCCCTTCATAGTGGCTTTTAACTGTAGACCAAATGTTATTGTCAACCTCACAATGAGATGATTCTGGAGTCTTCTGTAACTTTGGGATGATTGTCTCTATCACTAGCCTCCTCATCTTCAGCCTTCACCATCTCTCCATCACTAGCCTCCTCATCTTCAGCCTTCACCATCTCTCCATCACTAGCCTCCTCATCTTCAGCCTTCACCTTCTTTCCTTCACTAGCCTCCTCATCTTCAGCCTTCACCTTCTCTCTATCACTAACCTCATATTCAGCCTTCACCTTCTCTCCATCACTAGCCTCCCCATCTTCAGCCTTCACCTTCTTTCCTTCACTAGCCTCCTCATCTTCAGCCTTCACCTTCTCTCTATCACTAACCTCATATTCAGCCTTCACCTTCTCTCCATCACTAGCCTCCTCATCTTCAGCCTTCACCTTCTCTCTATCACTAACCTCATATTCAGCCTTCACCTTCTCTTCTTCACTAGCCTCCTCATCTTCAACCTACACTTTCTCTCCATGACTAGCCTCCTCATCTTCAGCCTTCACCTTCTCTCTATCACTAACCTCATATTCAGCCTTCACCTTCTCTCCATCACTAGCCTCCTCATCTTCAGCCTTCACCTTCTCTCTATCACTAACCTCATATTCAGCCTTCACCTTCTCTCCATCACTAGCCTCCTCATCTTCAGCCTTCACCTTCTCTCTATCACTAACCTCATATTCAGCCTTCACCTTCTCTTCTTCACTAGCCTCCTCATCTTCAACCTACACTTTCTCTCCATGACTAGCCTCCTCATCTTCAGCCTTCACCTTCTTTCGTTCACTATAGTTTCCTCATCTTCAGCCTTCACCTTCTCTCCATCACTAGCCTCCTCATCTTCAGCCTTCACCTTTTCTCCATTACTAGCTTCCTCGTCTTCAGCCTTCACCTTCTCTCCATCACTAGCCTCTTCATCTTCACTTTCTCTCTATCTCTAACAGCATCTTCAGCCTTCACCTTCTCTCCTTCACTAACCACGTTTGGGGTAGATTGTGTATGGTGGTCTGTTAAAAACATTGGCCAAAGTGTGAATTTGCCAGATTCCCATAAAAGACTTGTCCCTCTTCACTTTGAGGGTTTTGAGTCGAAATATGCTTTGGACTATGTTGTCTGTGAGACAAGTTCCTGGAACATATATGTCAGAATACTGAGCATAATGACGTGGCAAGTTATGTCTCTTTACACTGACATCCTTCCTTTATGCCTTGAGACTGGAAATTTCCATCAAGATCTTTGGCTTCATTGGCAACAAGTTCAGAGATTACTTTCACTGTCATTTCGTCTGCTCTGTCAATTGTCCCAAAAGCAAGTACACTGCCACATTATGGTGAGCAGTTACCATTTGATAACATAGTACAAGGATACAGCTCACCATTTGTCACTGCCATGGTTAATTTAGTTGTACAGTTCCACTCTGAAATTCCACTTTGAAGTTGCTTTGTATTCCAGTCAAGCAAACATTGCTATTCAGTAAACCTTCATGAAATCAGCATTAGTGAATTTCAAATTATTTTGATGATGTAATGAAATCTATACATTGTCATACTTGAGTGTTTGTCTTTGCCAACAAAGACCTTTTCAGAAAATAAAGAAGCGTGGAGAGTTGAATTTTAGTGCAGTGAAGAAATGTTTTTCTCCAAAACTCGTATTCTAAAACTTGTTTGACCTTTTAAAATAGAAAATACCCATAAGCTATTAGGTACTTCATGATCACTGCCATGATTCTATATTAAATGTAAAGTTTGTCTTTTCTATAACCATGGTACCATATTAACTCCGAAATCATAAACACTTATTTTAGCAAGCTTAGGAACAAGTAACTAAAATCTCATTGATCCCTTTAGTACAATATATCATCAAACATAACAGAGAGTAGTTACTTTGATTCTGATTGTCTTATGGAAATGTAGAATGTCATTACTGAAGCAAAACTGTCTTTGCCGTAACCCATTTCTTATAACAATTAGGTGTTTCAATAATTTTGCATAAAATGATGAAGCGCAAGTTTATCCTACAAACTGCTTGATTGAAATAATTAATTAGAATATTGAAAAAGAACAGAGTAATTTACTTTGCTTCTTTATAACTTTTCAATTGCAAAATGTCATTACAATAACAAAATATGTCTTTACTGTAACACATTTCTTATAAAAACCATATGTTCTGACAATGTTGCTCAAAATAGTAAAATACAACTTTGTCTTTCAAACTGCTGAATTAAAATATTCAGTTGAAATGTTGAAAAAGAACAGAAAGTAATAGTTTTCTTACTTTATAGCTTATTAAGTGAAGAAAGTCATTACCATAACAAAATCTGTCTTAGCTGTAACAAAATTTAGTGTTACAGGAAAGACTGTTACAGGTAAGACAAATCATTAGATAAAAAATTATACTGACTAATTAATGGTCCCTTCATGAAGCTGAATGTTCACACAATTTTCTGTTCATGAATTGGCACATAATCTTGGATCTTGAAATAACTATTTTGCATCTGTTCCATTGAATCATAGCGTTATGGGAAAGACATGAAATGAAAATACTCATCATTTCCTTACCTTTTTGGTTAACTTTTGGTGCTTATTTGTCTCCTGGTGCACATGGCACATCACACTCCTATTGTATAGGAAATAGTACTAGACATGACAGAAAGTACTGATATCCTTGCATTGGGGATCATTGATTATTCCAAAGTTTTATTAAGTGTTACAGGAAAGACACAAAATCTAAGGACGGTGTTATATATAATCATAATTCAGGAATTATATCAGTTAGATTGAAATTACACACTGAAATTCCTAAATGAATCTTGTTTTTATAAGATAACCACAGTAATATTATATATATGCCAATATTTATAAAATGACAGTTTCTCAAATTTGAAGCTAAATGTACTGGGACAGCCAAAAATGCACTTTCTACCCATTTAAAACGCATCAAAAACACATAATATGACACAATGATTGAAAATAACCATTTTACTAGATGCATTACTTTGCAGGTGATAATCTGTACAAATTGAAAAGTCAATATATATTTTTAAATTTTGTAATGGGTTCGGACAGAAATAGTGACATCTTTTGAAAATGACTCATTTATGTAATTTTTCATGCTTAATAGGTTTAACGTTATCACTGTGGGTGCTTCAAGATTATGTGTACGTTCCTGTTACATTCCACTATCACGTCTAGTGACGTTTTATCACAAAAATGACATTTTGATATATATTTTCATGCACCAAAGTTATAATTTGAAATAGCAGTTGCTCCTGAAACTTGGGATGAATGCATTACGCTCAAGTGCACATGTAAGACCCTGAATGAAGAAAGTTTTTATATCTCCGTGGCTTTTCCCACCGTAAATAGTTCATCCATTTCTTGGCCGTAATCAAAAGAAAACCATCCGTTTTAAGAAGCCAGTGTGACCTACCATGACTTCTAGAAATATGTGGCGCAATTGTCTATATGGTACTAAGATTAACCAATCACAGAATGTTTATCGAAATCTGAACAAGGACATGAAAAATACACTGCCTATTGATTCTCGACACAAACATCCTGATGTTGGTGTGAGAAGCTGACTGAGGTACTTGACACAAACATCCTGAGGTTTTTGACAAGCTGACTGAGGTACTTGACACAAACATCCTGATGTTGTTGACAAGCTGACTGAGATACTTGACACAAACATCCTGATGTTGTTGACAAGCTGACTGAGGTACTTGACACAAACATTCTGAGGTTGTTGACAAGCTGACTGAGGTACTTGACACAAACATTCTGAGGTTTTGACAAGCTGACTGAGATACTTGACACAAACATCCTGAGATTTTTGACAAGTTGACTGAGATACTTGACACAAACATTCTGATGTTGTTGACAAACTGACTGAGATACTTGACACAAACATTCTGAGGTTGGTGTGAGAAGCTGACTGAGGTACTTGACACAAACATCCTGAGGTTTTTGACAAGTTGACTGAGATACTTGACACAAACATTCTGAGGTTTTTGACAAGCTAACTGAGATACTTGACATAAACATTCTGAGGTTTTTGACAAGCTGACTGAGGTACTTGACACAAACATTCTGATGTTGTTGACAAACTGACTGAGGTACTTGACACAAACATCCTGAGGTTGGTGTGACAAGCTGACTGAGGTACTTGACACAAACATTCTGATGTTGTTGACAAACTGACTGAGGTACTTGACACAAACATCCTGAGGTTGGTGTGAGAAGCTGACTGAGATACTTGACACAAACATCCTGAGGTTGGTGTGACAAGCTGACTGAGGTACTTGACACAAACATCCTGATGTTGTTGACAAGCTTACTGAGATACTTGACATAAACTTTCTGATGTTGTTGACAAGCTGACTGAGGTACTTGACACAAACATTCTGATGTTGTTGACAAGCTGACTGAGGTACTTGACACAAGCATTCTGAGGTTGTTGACACAAACTTACAGATTATTCTACAGGTTATTAACGCAAACACACTTTGGTATTAACAATGACTTTTGAGGTTATTGACCGATTATACCCTTTCTGAGGTTATTGACATAAACCTGCTGTGGTTATAAACTTATTGAGTTTTATTTCCAGGAGAGATGAGAGGAAGAGAAAGTACAAGTCCGGGATGGAGTCACCACCGAAACCGAAACTCCGTCGTGATTTTGAGGACAGGGAGGAGGTCGAGGACTCCCACAGACCATGGGGCTACAGCCAAATGGTCAACAACCCTTACGCCAGCATCTTCAACAGACAGGAGGTGTCCATACCCTGCCTGGGGTCTCCAGAGGCTCACACAAAGGCAGCTGGGCACTCCCTAGAGTCTAATGTGTTTCCAGAAGGATTCTGCAACCCACAAGATCCAAACTTTGTTCCCAAGTCCAGAAGACCCCAAGAGGAGTATGCAGGTGGGAGAGTGATAGTACCGTCTGATAGTGACAGACAACAAGCTTGGGGAGAACTGAAGCTACGGAGGATGTCCCACGGGGACTCCTCACCCAGTGAGCTTGAGAGGAGTCACAGCCCCAAAAGCACCAAATCCTCGAAGAGTCCTTTTGATGAAGAAGCCTTCTTGTATGGTGAGAGTGAAATTGACACTTTGCAGAGAAAGTCTCAACGTGGCTTAAAAGGCCGACGGTCAGATGACTGGGAAGAGAGAGAAATGGAGAGAAGCGGGGATGAGAAGAGATGTAGGAACTACTGCATGGAGGATATGGAACTAAAAACACATTCATCTGAGTCCCCTGAATGGGAACATGTGAAAGCGGGTAAGGTTGTACGACTAGAATCCCCAGCTTATAAAAAAGGAAAGGGGAAAGGAAAAGCCCGCCGGGCTAGAAGCTCCAGCTCAGATTCCAGTTCCGGATCTAGTTCCAGGTCCAGTTCGAGTTCTAGTTCCAGTTCTTCTTCCTCTTCCTCCTCTTCTTCATTCGCAGACAAACCAATGGGGGATCGTTATGAAAAACGTGGTGTTTCTATACCCATGGGACTTCGAACAGATGGCAGTTTCATGGACCAGGACTATAACAGATCTTTTTCAGATGAGAAACCAAAGAAAGCAAGAGAAAGGGAGTATAGTGAGGGTAAATATGCTAAGTCAGCAAAATATTCGGACAAAGAGGATAAATTGGCAAAGTCAAGGAACCAAGGTAAACATGACTCCAAATGGGTAGGGAAAGTTGAAAGGGATGACAGGGGTTCTAGTATTGACAAAAATAGCTCAAAGAAGAAAAGAATGCTTGATACAAAGAAAATGTCTGACAGAGAAGACGAGGATGGCAAGAGAAAGAAAGAACCATCTGGTGAAGAAAGAAGCTCTACTTCAAAAGAAAGATGGACAGAAGAATCCAAAAGATCCAAGTCCCCCGAGAAGGTGCTTCAAGACTCCAGTGTGTCTTCCTTCAGTGAGAAGTTAGAAAAGGCTCAAGGGGAAGATCCTTCTGTTACCATAGGTGGGTTTGGGAAGATTGATGAGTTGCCCAGAGACGACAGCAAGGGTGAAGGTCCCCCACCATCAGCCCTGTCCAGCAGATCTCTGTTCCATGTGGCCTCCAAGTGGGACGACTCACCACCCGTCGACATCAAGATCAAACCAGAGGGGAAGAAGTATGAGAATATCCAGATCAGTATCACCACCAGTGGGAAGTCTGTCACTCCAAGTGATCCCAGTGGCATTCATATCTTTTCCGGGAAACAGCTGTCAAAGTATCGGGCTGATAAACATGTGGAAGAGAATGATTCAGATGATGATGAGCTTGAGCGATTGTTTCTCAAGGAGAAGGGCGTACAGAAAGTTCCAAAGGGGAAGAAATTGCAAGCAGCCAAAGCCAAGATTCAAGAACCTTCACAGAAGGATGAATCTCTGGCTTTGGTTGGTGAGAATTTTGAAAGACAAAGTTCCGACAGAAATTCAGAAAGGAGGGACAGTCGGGGTAGCCGGGAAGTGTCCAAAGACAGGTCAAAGTCTGAAAGAGAAGATGATGCTATATTCAGGCCAGGGAAAGGGACGAAGGGAAAGGGACGCTATGAGGAGGACAGCAGCAGCGATGACAATAAATATGACAAATATAAAACTGATCGTTATCGTGATGGAAGGGATAAACGGAACTCTTATCATCGTGGAAAGTATCATCGACACAGTCGTGATGATCATGAAGATGATCATTATCCTGATGGTGACAGATGGCAAGACAGATATGATGATGGTCGACGAAGTCGATACGATGATGAACATCGTCGTAAAGACTATTCTTTGGATAAACGAAGGGGGAATGATCGAAATAAAGGCAAGGAGTGGTTTGACGATGATAGTTATGATTACACTAGACAAGACTGTAGACCACGAATCGGTCGAACTCGGCGATGTGATAGATACTGTCGAAAAAATCATTGTGAAGATATCGGTGCAAGTAATACTGAAAACAGAGATAGGAGTAGATCAATTAGTCCTCCAAGGAGGAGGTCTAGGTCATACACATCATACACATCATCATCATCATCATCGTTGTCATCGTCGTTGTCGTCGTCAAGGAGCCGATCAAGGAGTTGGTCAAGCGAAAGATCGCCGCTAAGAAGACCTTCGTCAAAGCAAGCAAGTAGACCCTCGCCGAAGCAAGCATTGAGGAAAGAAGAACCCACGAAAGTTGATACTTATGTTGCAAGACCAGCAATACCCAGCACTGTTGTAGCGCCTCCAATTGCCACTGATGCAGCAGAGCCTGTGTTAGAGGCAGATGATGAAGTAATGACTGAGGAGAAAAGACAGTCACTACGTGAGCTGGAGTCCTTTCTCACCAACCTCAAAGACAGGAAGAAACAACAGTGGATTGCAGAGGGAAAAGTCAAGACAACAATTTGAGAGTTGCCTTCAATGTCATTAACATTAGATCTTTGCTCTCACTACCGGTAAACAAAGATCTGAGGATATCCCATTACAGGTCCCATCAGAACGACTTGTCCTCCGAACAATCAGAGTGTCACTTGCCAGATCAGGAAAGTTTGTGAAAACATTTTGTGAGTGTAGTCTGGAATAGAAGTCTCCATTTGAAACTAGTGCCTTAAAGCTCGAGAAAACTACTAACTGATTGGCTAATGTTGATTTTCCTGTTGGTTTTTCATTAGTTGGTCAAAGTTCGCAAATGGTCATTCTGATGTGACCTGGAGGAATGGGATGTCTTTGGATTTTTGGTGTCGTGGTGGCGGGCACTAAAATCTAATTTTAATGAGATTGGGTAACCTAGGGCATTTCATGTTTATTTCTTTGGTTTACAGATGAGGTTGTAATGAACCTAATGTACGTGAGGAGTGTGGAAGAAGAACATAATTCATTTGTACAGCTTTATTTACTACCACCAATCATGATAATCATGATAATTACACGTTCAAAAATTGAAATCACAAATTTTATAACCAGCTGATCCAGACAAGTGATTTCTCAGTGATCCACAAATGTCTTTTACTTTATCTAATACTCAAACCTTTCTGGCGTGTTCACTCTGTAGTGTTATCAGTAACTTTAACAATTATGAAAACTGTCACATTTCTCAGAAAAAAATAAATGAAGATAAGAGAATTTGAATTTATTTGTTTTCTCATATTACTGAACATAAAAATGGAAGGGTGTTATATTATTCTGTCACAGACATCAAAATCTGAAAACCAATTTAGATTTTTTTGTCCAGACACGATTATTTACAAGTTGCATAACTGGAATATTGCCCAGGCAACCACCATTTGAAGTTCTGGAGGAGGACCTGGGAGTTTTGTTAGACACTGGATAATGTGTGGGCCCTGTGTCAATGTACGCAACCTTTTCTATAAAAGGAGGATCTGAGCAATTTATATTTTTTGTCCCAACAAAATATTCCAGGACATGTCCAGCTAACAAGTAACATTGGGGGGTGAAACCGAAGGACAAATCATATTTTTTGTTAAGTTCCCACCACAATCAATACTTTTCCATCTGTGTGATGGGGGCCTGTAGATAGTCGAGTCTGAACCAGGAAATCCAGTGATTGATGTTTTGAGAAAGTTGGAGTGTGATGACAAGTCACCAGCATGACCAACCACCTGATCCTTTACGATGTCTCTTCTAATGCCATATTCAGAAAGGTACCTATCATCTGGTGGGAAATGATTTTTGATATACAATGCTGTATGCTTGTCTATACAATGCTGTATGCCTGTCTATACAATACTGTATGCTTGTCTATACAATGCTGTATGCTTTGCCGTAGAATACTGTATGCTTGGCTATACAAAGCTGTATACTTGACAGTGCTGCCTAAATGCTTGACAGTGTTATCATGAATTGGCTTTTCACAACAGGATATGCTTACCAATGAAGCAATCAATGGTTTAAATATCTTACTGCCATCAAAAGATATAATGGCTTCTTTGAGAACCAGCCTAAATTAACCAGTCATGCAAGTTTAATGTAAGATAGTGACATTGATCTTGACCTGAGGTGTAAATATGAAAAGTATCTATATGTGCATCACATCACTTAATTGAGATCGCATCCTGCGTCATATTGTTGAGGGTGCAAAAAACTCCTCTTTCTCTTTCCACTCTCCACACACACACACACATACACACATACACACACAAACACATGCACACACACACACTTGTGCACACTGACACACAAACACACATCAGGGCATACCACTTAATTTGCCTTGGCATCCAGTTTTAAATAAGTACTCATGAGCTAGATCAGTGTATACATTGGACCCGATTTTCGCCATGACACTTAAGGATGTTGCTCACAATATCAACCTATGGATTTCCTGATCCATGCCTGACCAGCTCAGTGTGAGCATACTCTGAGTGAGGTATCCATGTTAAACTGGGACATGGTATCTTATAGTGGGATAGCAATATAAAACCAGCATTAGTCTGGGCTAGTACCAGCAGCCACACACATGTGCATGCACATTGCTATTTAAGTGCACTAATCTTGAATGCAACATTAAACCCAATTTCAATTTCGAACCGTGAAGATTCCGGGGTAGAATAGGCCTTCAGCAACCCATACTTGCCGTAAAAGGCGACTATGCTTGTCGTAAAAGGCGACTAACGGGATCGGGTGGTCAGGCTCGCTGACTTGATTGATGCATTTCATCGATCCCAATTGCGTGGATCGATGCTCATGATATCAATCACTGGATTGTCTGGTCCAGACAACCAACCAACCAACCAACTTAAACCCAATTTCACCTATTACATTTGTAATTCCACAGGCAAGAACACATTTTGCAATTTTCTCCACAATCATGAAATTGTATGATTGTAGAATGTTTGAGTTTTTCATTATTATTGATGTTGTTTCTTTGCAAGTGCTACACTGACAAATGGCTGGAATGTATGCTGCCAACACATCTGCTTGAGATGGTGCCATTTTCCTTGTAACATTTGAAGATATGCAGTGAATTATCCCTGCATAGAATTAACCAGCCCTCAGACATTCAAATATTCTTAGTAAATGCTTCACGTTGCAGAAAACAACAATATTTTCGCCAAGTTAATTTTTTAGTTTCTTTTCTATGACCATGATAACAATGTCTTAACATAAAAATACTAATTAATAGTAATTATATTGTTAAGTATGATATGGATTTTGCTATTTTATAATGCATTTTAGGGGGAGGAAGTCCAACCCTAACAACACATTCCTTTTCCAAATGATGTACTGGTACATGTTTATCTATAATGGACCATTCACCATGATTTTTGGAAAGTAGTTGGATTAAAACATTCTGATAAACAAATGTAAAATCTAAAGAAAGTCAATGGGATCCATCCTCGACCCAGTTAAGCATCAGTACTAATTTAAACTTTAAAGAGAAGAGTTTTGAATTAAGTGCTTCTAGAAAAGTTCCAATATCATAACAAGAACATGATCTTGGTAACATTTGGCTTTGATGGTAACAAATGTCCATATTTTCTATTACAACATTTAAATTTTGTTTTCCATATATCCAGGAAGCAATCTTGTTGCTATGATTATCATAAGATAATGTTTAATTGCAGGTGTTACGAACTTGTTAACACTAAGATGGCTTTGTGGAACAGGGAACCTGTCTGAAGTGTCTTTAAGGTACATATTTTTTCAATGTCCACAAATGCATCTACTTTGCATCAAAGATATCTTCATCAGTTATCATTTCGCTGATAGATTGTTTGAATGTAATGAAATATGGCTGCATATATATAATTCCTGCGAATATCCTACCTCTATTTCATCCTTGCCATAAATCCTGTATTTGGGCTGTCATCACACTATAAAACAGAAGTCCTCTTTAGTGTCAACTATCCATTAACAGTTGTACAGAAAATAGTGTCTTGCTGTCATAAAGGATGTTATAGAGGTAGTATTCTCAGAATTATGCACAATGATAACTGTTGTTTTTGTTTTTTTTAGATATGAACAATTAAACATGATGAAAGAATGCTTTTTGTTGTGAATTTTGTGGATAAGGTTATGGATTTTTCTGACTAAAACAAAAATAAGACCTTGTGTTTCAGCTTACATATAAACATGACCACAAGAGGAGCTAAGCTCACCTTTTAATGTTCATTATATAATTTAGGGGTATGCTAAATTGGATACTTTTAAAAACACACTACCCAACACTAAGACAAGTTTTCATTATTATTTATCATGTTCTAAATTGTGATACTTTCTTTATTGGTCACAGTTGGCCAAATCTATGGTGCCGCAGTTGGCTCTGCAGAGTTAATCACACCAAATTCTTCGTGAAATAATCCGAGTTTCAGAGATTACAGGGATCGTGAAATAATCCGAGTTTCAGAGATTACAGGGATCGTCAAAATGTCTGTTGCCACGACAGAGTGGAATTTACATGTACATGTGGGATTGCCACCACTTGCAGACACCTAAACATGTCTTTTCCAACATTTGCAGACACCTAAACATGTCTTAATAAGACAGGGATGTGAAATCTCCGCGGAAACGCGGAAAATCGCGTTTTTTAAAACCGTAGTCCTCGGAAAAAATCATCTTCCGCGTAAAAAATTAATAATATTTTTAAAGAAAACACTCGGAAAAATATGATCGAAAACCAGACACCTGTCGCGGATTGTCCTGTTTTCGATCAGAGCTTTCACCAGCATAGGTTTTCGGACATCATACGTTTTCTATCACGAATACTTGCATTATAACGTGTGGTGTGGCATAACACAGAAATTGTAAATACTCGGAGACATGATGGCTTGTTTTCAGTCTTTTCCAACATTTGCAGACACATAAACATGTCTTTTCCAACATTTGCAGAAACATGTACTTGTATTACCAACACTTGCTCCTATACCATCATGTCTTTTCCAACATTTGCAGGTACATGTAAATTTGGTATTACCAACACTTCGACACTTTCCCTAAATGTGAGAAATCCCACTTTAAAAGTTTGAAATGGTGATAAAAAGCACCACTTGAAGTTTTATTAACAATATTGTTTCCAGCCATTGTCAGTAAGTGTGCCAAACAGTATATCTTTTTTTTTCAACATAACATAGATATTAACATGTAATAAAGACAACCTGAAATATATACGATGTTCTGGCATATCTCTTCCCCAAAGAAATTCAGCTAGACTTTCAGCCAAAGCGAAGTAAATAAAGGCAACTCTATCTGGCAGCATAAACATTATACAGGAAAGGGGAAATGTGAGGCCCAGATCCTTGTAAACAGAAGTAATACATTGTGGCCCTGATAAATGATAACATTTCTGCTTGTGTCAAATTACCTCAAACACAGGACATACGTTTATGCTTCAGAAACTTTCTCAATGAGCAAGCCAATTAATAGCAATAACAGCTTATCTCCCGACAGCTGGTAATGGCTCAACCACAGAGACTGCGTGACAAACAGGCGGATACCATTATCCTGGTGTAAGCTGACACTCTAAAGCATCGCTTGCTACAAACACGTGGTTATAATCACTTACCAGCTTTAACGATTATCTGGCATTGCCTAAAAGAACTAAAGGAATGTCAGTGTTGCCTTTACACATTGTTCATTTAATTAAATGCTGCACATTTACATTGCATTGTTTGTTTCAAAACTAAAATGCTAAATAGTCTGCAAAATTAAGTTAATGTCAGGCTGTGATGTTAATGATTGGAAATGTGTTCACACAAAGTTAACGGAGAAACGTCATTCTATAAATTATAGATGAATAGAAGATCCTTTTAAAACCTTTGAACAATTATTTGTTTATGTAAATATATATTCATGTATATAACAGTGGGTACATATTTAGCTTATTATCTATATACCAGTATATAATATGTACAGAGTGATAGATAAATAGATAGACAGATCTGTACCAAACGTTCAATTTTCAAAATGGTGACATAACTCGCAGTATTCACAAAAAATATAATACTTTTTCCAGATCAGCTTCATTCAAAGTCAATTTATGAACATACAAATACTGCAATTCTTAAGATCAGTTATCTCAGATTGTATTCGGATATCCAACCTAGCTGTCATAAGACAGTTTAATGTGGTTACAATCATTTTACGTTCCTAAATGGAATTCTTAGCTTGATCATTCACGCGATTTTTGTGGCTCAGTAAAAAGGAAATTAATAAGGAAATAATGCAGGAACTTGTCAGATATAATAAAGCCAGGATCAGCATTTCAGCAATGTCAGACTTCCACAAATCTGAGTCGGGTATTCATGTTTAACTGCGGCATAGCATCTCAGCGGGCTGGCACAATAACATTGGCATTAGACGGACAAGTACAATCACACGCACGCGCGTAGGCACACATAGCTATATTAGTGCGATAATGAACACAACACCACAGTCACACATCATATTATGCAATGTCTGTGTCATAGTCTTCCTCCATAGCATCTGGTCCCGGTAGACAATCAGATCTGTTACCAGTTGGGAGAGCTTTGTAGTACTCATGATATTCGCTAGGAATAATGCCAGATCTACAAAGAGATAACAAGTCTTTCTTCTTCGCATGTAATATTTCTTGCTTTTCAATGTACCTACAAGTAAGGGAGTTGATTGTGTTCAGAGGTCTACCTCGTCTACTGCCTGCTGTAACCTTAATTTCTCTGAACTGCTCATCATTGTGTTCAGTTTTGAAGTAAACGCTGTCAGGGCTAGTCTTCATAAACCGCAGCCAGCGAACATTTAGCCAGTTAACTCTCAATACTCAATACTGGAGTGAATTGCATTGCACTCCATTTGGGTGTGTCCTGGCTCCAAGAATTTATGGTCAATGACATCAATGTGGTCAGTGGTAGTGACAGCATGAAGTAGGGAAGCAGCAACATATTGGTTCCTATTCTGCCCTGTGCATGTATCTGAATACAGGATAACATGTTTGATGTTAGGAGGCAGTTCTTTCAATTGTATTTGTAAACATGATGCAATTTCGCATGAACCTCTCTGGGCATCAACCTCTGACCACAGAAAACATGTACCGCTCTTGTGAACAGCATCATGCACTGTGAAATTATAACAACTCAGTTTTCTCATATATAAAATTTCGCTAACTAGCGAACATGGCGTGTACAATACTGTTTCAAGGTCAAATGTTCCCACAAAGACAGAGGGCTCTGTCAAGGCAAGTCTTTGTCCTTAATCTTTGCCTCTCGAGCTCTGATTTTTCTGGCTTGGTGTTCATTGAAATCCTTTGTTAATTGTTCTGTCGGGCAACCAGTGTCTCTTTCTCTGTAATATTGCTGACAAAGCGAACACTGGTCCTTCTTTGGAAGACGTTTCTGTAGAGTGATGAGGACACTGGTTCTTTGTTGTTTTCAGCACACCTTTCCTTATAAAGTTCATACATCTTTTTAATATTCAATTCATGGCCTAAAAATTGCCTGTTTATATCTTTTCTTGTGTAGTGGGCATCCATCTTAGGAAATGACCGAATGTGTTCCCTCACTTTCGTCAAGCGATCACTGGCAGTTTTATTGTGTGGCTTATGTCTACTGCGACGTTCAGTGCTCCCAAAGGTTCCCTGGCTCTTGTGCTGTAAGGCACGGCTGATGTATGACTCCCCAATGTCAAGAGTCTTCATGAACAACTTCTTGCAAACAAGATGTCTTGTTCCTCCCCACTGTAGATTAAATGCCCGATAGACTTGGCGTTTCTTTTCCACCTTTTTTTCACTGTCATCAGGTATGTACGGGTTTTCTTATCATCAGTGTTCAAACAAACAAAATCCTTTTGCCTTGCATATGATGTCAAGCTTCTAAACGATTTAAATATACTGTGTCGAGCTTCTTCGGTGATCTTCTGGGAGCACTTATATCTACATTTTGAGCAGTCGACTGCTTTAACCGATTTTCCTTTCATGGTCTTCCCTTGCTGGTTTACATATTCCATTCCACCTAATCTCAACTGTTTCCTTTTATTTTTTAACCATGTCTCGGGCGTCGCACGTCTCTTTCTAAACAGCACCTTTCTAGGAGGTGTATGGAAGGCTGCCGACTTTCTTGGAGTTGCAGATCGAGATGGGTTCTGTTTGTTTGGGTTTGATGCAATATTACCTGATGACACTGTGTCATCACCATGCTGTGAAGATCTTGGAACTGGACTTGAAGTATTTGAACTTATCACGGGACCTTCTGGCATTACATGGTTGCGTTCATTTACAGCAGGAAAGATGCTGATGGACTGGAGACAACTTGCAGCTGATGTGGACGTTCCAGGACAGGTAGCTCTAGAAGCACCTGCTTCTGTTGTTTCATGTTGAGTACTTGAGTACTGAGAAGATTTTGTGATGTTATTTTCTATCATTGTGTTTGACAATGGTTAGCCAGTGGTGTGCATGCATCATAATGATCTTCAATACCTTTTATTGATGTAAATGCGAGGATTATTCTTCTCTCAGTGCATTGTTGACGAATTGTAGGTTGGACATCAATTACAGGAGTTGATGCCTTGCTCGAGAAAATACGGACACCACGACCTGACCAGTTAGCAAGTGCTAATGGCAGGAAATCAGCAACCTTATTGGTGAAATATCCATTGCTGCGAAGATGTTCCACTTCCAGCGAATAACTTTGCCATGTTTCCAGGTTGTTTTCCTCCACTTCAGCATAGAAATCAGAATAAGTGATGATATTATCATCAAGATGATCACACAGTTGTTTCCTCAGTTCACATTCACTCACATTAAGTTGAAGTGCAGAAGCCTTAAAAAAGCAATTTCCATCAGCCGGTACCTTCAGTAACTTGTATCCATTACAATGCAGAAGTTGTTCTAATCTCTCCGTGTGAAACTTTTTCATTTTAGATTCATACATGTAGTTGGTATGATTTTCATGTAATGTCTTCAGAACAACAGTTTCCTCCAATTCCCCACTTGAGCTTTCATGAAATTTGCTATGAACAATATTCTTCTGATTTGGTATTGGCAATTCTGTTTCCGATTCAGTGGTGTCAGACGAGTATAAATCTACTTCAATCGGAAGGTACTCTTCTGATGATGTTTCGATGCTACTTTCAACATGTGTATGTCTATATTTCCCCAAATAAATTAAAGGTTCGTCATCAGAGCTGTCAAATTCATGTTCATTTCGATCCTTACTGGTATAACTGGGAAGTGGCTCTATGTACTCTTGAGGGACTGTCATATGCGTTGCCGACAAAGGATCTGGGTTGTCAGTAGTTTGTACCTGATTAGCATCCATGTTGGTTGCCATCAATGGATCTGCGCTGTCAGTGGTTGGTAGCTGATTAGCATTCATGTTGGTTGCCGTCAATGGACCTGGGTTGTCAGTGGTTGGTAGCTGATTAGCATTCATGTCTGTTGCCGTCAATGGATCATCGTTGTCAGTGGTTGGTAACTGATTAGGATCCATGTTGGTTGCCGTCAATGGATCTGGGTTGGCAGTGGTTGGTAGCTGATAAGCATCCATGCTGGTTGCCGTCAATGGATCTGGGTTGTCAGTGGTTGGTAGCTGAGTTGCATCCATGTCGGTTGCCGTCAATGGATCTGTGTTGTCAGTGGTTGGTAGCTGATTAGCATCAATGCTCGTTGCCATCAATGGATCTGCGTTGTCAGTGGTTGGTAGCGGATTAGCATCCATGTTGGTTGCCATCAATGGATCTGCATTGTCAGTGGTTGGTAGCGGATTTGGTTCCATGTTGGTGGGTGGTTGTGGCACATTATGGTGTAATATCTGATTGTTCTCGATAATATTGCAAGCTTCCAAAATGTCTTGATCTTCGAGGTCAGAATCAAACTCACTCATTTTACAATGCCTATAGAAAGAAAACAAAAAATAAATTTAAAGAAAACAATACATAGCACTGGTCTTGAAATATTTGTGTATGTGAAATTATTTCTCAATTTACAATCTAACTTCATGTATCATATATTTACTCTTATGTAAACTTTACTTGTGTTTATGAAAGATGTTTATGTTAAAAACACTAGTCTCACCCATGTCATTTACATACTGTTTTATAGCAAAATTAACTATTTTTTCCCTGCGATTATCTGAAAACAACCAAGAACGCACTAAAAGTAACGAACACTGATTTGATAATGACTTAAACATAAAAATAGGTTATACAAATCATCAGACGTGTTGTTGCGTCGTAAATTTATAACAATATAAGAGATCAAATTTAAAAAATGAGTAAAATAACTGATAATTTAATTCAATTTACAGTTTTACTTACCTTAAACGTATTTATGTTGATGAAAATAATTTGGACTATAATATTTCCGTTGTAAGACGTTTGTGTAGTCGGGTTTATCTTCGACGCCAGGACCAAGTAATGACCACTAATATAAGCTGACTGGAATTTAGCCCGGAGATCAGATATAAACATCCTGGGCCATAGAAGGCTAGCACCAGTTAACATCGTCTGGTGCGGGGGAGCGCTTATCTCCAATCGTAAACACAAACAGCCAGCACATCTCAAATGCTTATCAGTTGTTACAGTTCTCCAATTAAAGGAGTCTGAAGCCTATATCAGAGTGCTAGAATGTGTCAATTCTTGATACGTTTTTCTGGCTTAATAGAATTGAGTGAAAACTTTAACGTTGTGCGTACCAGCATGTAGTATTTTAGTATAGAACATCCTGGCGCAACACGAGCTAGGTGATAAGATGTTTATGTCTTGTTGAATATCTTTTAAAATATACAACGTAGTACATAGATATTTTGGCGTAGGATTACATATGGTCATACAATGTTTTGAAAGTCATAAAGTCAATTTTAATATTTTACAAGATAATGAGTTCTGGCACTAACCACTCGTCTTGCAGATACATCAACATGGCTTTTCCAACATTTGCAGATACATGTACATGTCTTTTTCAACATTTTCAGATGCACATAAAGTGGTATTACCAGCATTTGCAGGTACATCAACATGTCTTTTTCAACATTTGCAGATACTATTCTAACGTATGTAATTTGTGATTTCTGGTGTGACGATAAATTAATATCTAATTTATTAAAAAATAAATAAATGTATCTTCTCACACGCAGAAAAACAAGCATGGAATTTTCCTTTGATTTCGATAATTGAGTTTGCATAAACAAGGCAAGTAATAAAATACGAAACGAACTTGTCTGTAATACCATGTTTTATGAACCTCGCAAAACATTGAGTTGATACTGTTCACTCGTTTACTAAAATAGGTACGACACGGGAGGTAATTTAGTAAATATGCACGAAATAGCGATACTGTTGTTCTCTCATCTATTTTAATCAGACACAATGTATCTCATTCAACACCTCGAAGCTGCCAATGAAAGCATGAACTCAATTACTGTGCAAATATAACAGTATATAAGTATGAAGTTTAATACCACTGATATCATTATGTTGACAAACGGCTTGATTCTTAACTATCAGTTGCGACATACCATATGATTGCTTTGCATAACATTGGGGCAAGTTTAATGTTTTTGATTGCATACTGTTCACTTCGATAGGCACTTTATTCTTTTTTTTGGCAATAACCAGAGTATGTCACTATAGTTATTGAAAATTTGTTTTAAATTTAAGCTTGTTTTGTGCCTTATGGAAGTGTAGATAAGGAAACAGAAAACAACAATTTGCATTTACATTAGTAAATAGATATCAATAAAATCTTAATACGTCAATGTGTCAGTTTCTTGTTTTGAAAAGTATCTATGTAAAGGCATTAGTATTCAAATCCCCTTAGTTAATAATTTGTATTTGTAACATTTTGTTTGATTGTATTGTGTCTGTTGTACAATCAAGAGCATTGATCCACGCAATTGGGATGCGATGACATACATACACCAATCTTGTCAGCGAGGCTGACCACCCGATCCCATTATTCGCCTCTTTCGACAAGCATAGTCGTCTTTTACGGCAATCATGGGTTGCCGAAGACCTAATCTACCCCGGATCTTCACGGGTCTAAAACCAATATGAGGAAATGTTGAACGCTGTATGTTTCTACGGGTGGGCGCATGACAGTCATGGCATATGCTGTAAGGAAGCAGGGGAAACCACTGAAAGGAAAGTCAAAGACTTCTGATGATGAAATAGGTAGAACACAGCTAATATACGTTTGTTTAAGTATAAAGGCCACAGGCCCAAGTACAATGCAGATACATGTATTATATATAAAGTGGTGGTACAATAACAAGAGGAACAATGTGCAGCTAAAGTCCAAATTTAAGTTATATTAAAGAAGAACGTAAATGTAACTCATCTTCTATAATATTTTTACAAAAAGGACAGAATCTAAGGTTTCTAGCTACACCCTCCCACCTAACTATATTTTTCATAATTTGTAAGTCTCCAATTCCGCCGTGATATTGCTGGAATATTGTTAAAAGCGGTGTAAAACCACACTCACTCACTTAAAATGTTAAATATCTTCTTTGGTCGCTTTGGTGTACGTGAAGTAAATACGTTTCCATTGTGAAAATTGACCTTATAAAGGAGTAAAATTCTAAATTTGAATGTTCATTTAAATGTTAGAACCTATCAGATTATCAACTCCTGTTTCTGTATTAATGCGTTTCCCACGACAATTGCACAGGATACAATTTCATATAATCGCAAGATAATACGGAAATATTTAGCCAGCAGTACTTACCTTCTTTCCACTTCGCACCACACCGTGTCACCGTGTCTTAAGAGACTGCACTGAATACATCAGCGTGGATGTCAGTTGTGCGTGTTGTGGAGAGATCACATGGAGGTTGTGGAGGGGTGACGTGCATGTTTGTGTTGTGTTCCAATGCCGCTCTAAGTGCACTGTTTCGACGTTGACGTCTGTAGTGAGAGGGACAGAAGATTCTCGAGACCTGGTCCCGGAATGGTCTGAATGTTCCAGTGAAGATGAAAATATTCATGAAGCAGCTTAATCGTTGAATAATCTGCAAACCATAGCTCATAGGGGAATCTTCGGGAGCTAAACCAGACAGTCTTACCACAAATACAGGAAAGAAAGATATGGCTCCACAAGCCAGGTAACTCGTGATCAGCCATGGGAATTTGATTGGTGCCCCACCTTGAGCCACTGACGATCCGGTATGACGTTTGGCTCTGTACTCCTTACACAATAGCATGTACGACAATGCTATGACAAAAACCGGGATGGCAAGTAGAAGGATGGTATACAGTAACTTAACATAGTGGTTAGAAATAACGAGGACACATTGGAATCCTTGTGTATGTAATCCTGTCCATGACACTGTAAGCGCACATAAAAACACGACAAAACACAATCCAGCATATGCAACTGTTGCACCCACAATGTTCCTCCCTGTGACTACGGCGATGTAGTGGAGAGGGTGGCAGACAGCAACGTAACGATCAAGTACAGCCAACATGGCCTGGAATAAGTTAAATGCTTGAAGAACACCTGCCATGACTGCTCCAGCAGTAATAAACGTGTTGTCACAGGTCAATTGTGAAGAAAAACATAATGGAACGTCATACATGAGCAGATGAAATCCCGTCACAAAAGCAGTACCACCGATACCCGTCAGAACATGTAGTGTTGGTATTTGAAGATGCAGTGACTTGACATTAACGAAAATGATGATTCCATTGGTGGCCATGATAGTTACAGCCAGACTGATGTAGAGAGCACCAAGGACAGGGTTACTCTCCCTGTCAGGGAGCGTCGTTGTCTGGTTCGCCATCGAGGATTTGTCTTTTACAAACGTGGTTTTATAGTGTTAAGCTCTACATGCACTTTGTCTGACGGTGCCGCTCGTCAAGACACTTACCCACACCAGAGAACCTGTATCACTACTGGACTTTCCTCTCACCTGGGTCTAAGAAATTTGCTTTCAGTAATGACAATTGTGTATAATGTTGTTCATCAGCCTCCTAGTGAGAAAGACGTGTGGTTTCAGTGTCAATGATTAGGAGCTTATAAGTAATGCCTTGCAGTACAAACCCAATCTCCGCCTACAATGCAAGACGGCCGCTAATGAACGAGTGTGTGAAGTTAACGAGGTGTTTGTTGTCTGATTGGTAGTGCGCAAAGGGGGATTGGGTGAGATTAATGCCGCTTTGAACAGTATTCTTGTGATATGACGACGTGTCAGTTTGATGTGGGATGGAAGCCCTAAGTGATGCAGGTCTCAGAGCTTTACCTCTTTGGTGAAAGCCACGAGCACGGGTATGGTGCTGACAAACCCAGATACGTAACCCGGGCGACCGGGGATTCGAACCCACGAACACCGGTTTCTGGTTTGCCCAAAAGACACTCTGGATAGCGAGTTGCGGCACCTTCGAAAAAAGCAATGCAATATCTTTGTCGCGACGATGGCTGTATGTTTGGTAGTTCAGTGACAAAACCTCATTTATTTCACTTGCCATGTACCGTATGGCGCTCTTCTGATCTGATAACAGGACATGGAATTCCACTGCACTCTCAAATGATTCTAAATATGTATCCATTCTCAAACACTTTGTAGTCACATTACAGTTACACAAAAGAAGTGTGAATGTCATGCTTTTCGCAAACACCAGGTGTCATCACTGATTTTCAGTGTTCCATTAACACACTTTTCATCTCCTATTTTGCCTTTTACGCCCAATGGATTATGTTTCGACGGATAATCGAGACTGGTTATTCTCGGGCGTTGACGTTTTATATTTTATGAATCGGCGAACACGTATATTTCAG